GATCATTGCCGAATTTCGTTTCCTCGTCTCGCTGCCCGGCTAAAACAACCCAACGGGAACCTGGATCCATACCGGCCGTTACTCTGCACAAACCCATATTATTGAACCACTTCAAGGGAGTTTCAATGTGCACATCGCATTGGAAAAAATTTATATATGGCTCTTTCAGCGGGTACTAATATGTGCGAGGGTTCCCCTCTTCTTCCCTTTCGAACAGAATATCGTCACGTCCTTTTAACCTGTCCAATCCCAATCTCAACCCTCCTCCCCCGTCGTTATCCCACATTCAAACTAAACAACCACCCGCCGATGACACAGCTCTTGATCAATTCCTGATAGTTGTGCCACTCCAATCAGTGGGAACATCGCTGTCACTCGGCAGCACTGAAAAGCCTGTCAGAAGGCCGCTCCCTGCACCGACACAAGGATTCCTAGGCACCGTGCATTTAGTATCAATCGACCAGGTAGTCAAGATGGCTATTAGGAGCATCAAGATGACGGAAGTTTAGTTGTGTCCATCGACACTTGGCAGGACAAGTCAAAATGCATCGACCACGCCTTGGATACATGGACAGGCTGAAAGTCCGATAGACATGCCGCTCTTTTATTTCATATTGGTGAAAGCTAGCATAATGTCTGAGTAGAGCCGTAGCCGTGCTTCCTGCCTTGGGCTTGCGCGACAGGCCCAATCCTAGGAAACGCAACTAACCCCTCACAGCTCTCAGTTTTTGGGTTTTTCGCACAAAAGACCAGAGATTCAGATAGCAATTATCGCATGAATGGAAGCTAAGGAGCGCTCGGAAGTGAATATTCCACTTTTCTCCGGAATGGATGACTCTCGTGGGACCCATCAATGCGAGGCCGACATAATTTTTACCTCATAGTAACAGGCTTTGGGCCGATGCGACTGAATCTGGCGATGACAGCCATCAGCTAAAGTCTACATTTTCTTCCGTTTTCCATTCTCTTACCTACAGCGAGCTGTTTGCGTGTGCAGGGCGACGATGTGTGCGGAGTGACTTCGCATGCAGTCATCATGGATGTCTGTATAACCTCTGTCCCCTGAGCATTTAGAGCATCAAGCCTGGGTAGTCTCCAAGGCTTCCACTTTTTGGGCTTTTCTTTCTGTTTCGTTTCTCCTTTTTTAACATCGATTTCTAAAAAGTCTTGGATGGAGCTGAACGGATGCCCTTTTTCTTTGGTGTACCCATAGATTATGTTTGTGAGAATAAATGTCTGATGTGCGGTCAGATCGAATAATCACCGACTCAAGGCAGCCTTCTGCCGGCCAGGATAAGCCTATGCACCACTCACGCAAGAAAACCCAAATCTTACATCACCGCATGTCAATCGGTGCTGAATTGGGGCAGAGCGATAACGCGTCCTTGTCCCGTCCGCTGATACCCGAAAATAGCGCTAAGGAGGCCAACACCCTCGTGGATAACAATGATAACAAATAGCTGTCAAGAGGATGTGATAAGCATTCCACAATGCTTGGGTGGAGTCTTGCAGGCTCATCCATGAATGTCTTATCTGGGGTAAATTAAACTACTACCCCAGTGATATCGTGATGTCACCATTGGCTCTCGACCCGTTCCGGTCCCTACTACGAATCTGTCAATTTCCATGGTTCCTTCGTCCTACATCCAGGATTGACAGTTTGTGTATGGTTTCAGGTTCCATCTGCAGATCTCGAGTCTAGGATTCCCCACGATGCTCTGAACTTTAACATGCACACATGGTGATGTGTCCTTCTCGTGGGCCGTGATCGCAGACCATGTCGAGTGGACGCAAGGGATACTACGGGAGTCTTATAATCCATGGCTACACCGAACGCCATTGCTCCATTTCCGGCTTATTCCCCAAATTACCCGCCATTGGGCCAGCAAAATACGCAAAAAAAATCCCTGAGCATGCAACCTTGACCAGAGCGGTGGCCACCACCCAAGCCACTGCCATCGGTCGTTCAATAATCGTCGCTGCTGGAATTACCTCGCAGGTTGCACTCTGTCTCACGAGTGATGGCTCAGTGGTACATTCGATAGTAGTTGATGTCTGAGAGGCTACTGATAAGGCTACGGGCAGATGTGCAATTGGCGGAAGGGTACTTATCAACCAGCAGCCAAACGGTCTGACCACGCGGTGATACCCATTCCAGAAACCTTCTCAGCCTAGTGTATCACCCCTATGCAGGTTGCATTGCGCTCGCAGTAGTACTTGGTCGGGGAAAGGCTATCGTTGAGTAGCCCAGGCAAAGATAAAGCTAGGGGCTTATCTGTCCTAGCTGAAACGCTATTTTGGGTTCGTGCGAAGGGTATGGTAGCATTAGCCACTGGTTGTCGTCCAACCACTATATTAATACCCCCCGGGTTCCCTGTCTTTCTGGCTCGGTACTTCTCGCCCGAGCCTCACTTGTTGTATTTCCCTTCACTATGAACGAATCCATCATCCCCCCACGGAGTTCATCAGAAAGTATGAAAAAGACCGCCCAGCCCGCGGCCGACTGGGAGGTTGACATCGATCATGGCGCCGAAACCGATCTCCAGCGGACGCTATCCACCCGCCACATCACCATGATTGCCCTGGGGTCATCAATTGGCATGGGATTATGGCTAGGCAGTGGAACATCGCTAGCAAATGGTGGTCCAGCGGCCATCTTTATCGGCTACCTCTTGAGCGGTACCATGATCTGGTCGGTCAGCCATTCCATCGGTGAGATGGCCGTAATGTATCCTCTGCCTTCGGCATTTATTCAGTGGACGTCGATTTTTGTTGACCCGGCTGCGGCATTTGCCCTGGGATGGGCATACTGGTTCTCCTACTGGATCACCATCGCCAATGAGTTACAGGTATGTTAACCATAGGTGCCTCTCGAGGTCTCAGAACCTGACCGTCATAGGGTGTCGTGACTGTTCTCAGTTTCTGGACCGACAAGGTGCCCACGGCAGCGTGGATTACCATCTTCTGGGTAGTAATTATTTTTATCAACGTGTGGGCTGTGAAGTTCTTTGGCGAGGTGGAAGTCGTTTCATCGTCCATCAAATTCGGGTGGATTATCATTGTCATTATCTCTCTAATTGGTGAGAAACTAGCATCAATCTCTTCCTTTCCCCTTCGACTAACATGTCACAGTCGTATCTGCAGGAGGCGCCCCCGCTGAGGGCCCCATCGGCTTCCGGTATTGGAACTCGTACGCCTTCACGAACGGATTCAAGGGCTTCCTCACCGTCATGCCGACTTGTATCTTTGCCATGTCTGGATCTGAGAACTGCGCTTTGGTTGCCGCCGAGACCTCCAACCCTCGAAGAGCTGTCCCCAAGGCAGTGGGGTCGATCTGGCTACGCCTTTCTTTATTCTATATTCTAGGCTCTCTCATGATCACCATCACTGTTGACCCAAAGGACAACAATCTGTTCGGCGCTTCGGGGGTCAACGCATCGCCATTTGTCATTGCTTATCGTAATGCGGGTCTCGAGCCTTTGGCCCACATAATGAACGCCGTGGTCTTCATCTCGGTGGTGTCCACGGGTAGTATTTCTGGATATGCCGGGTCCCGTGCTCTCATGGGGCTGGCACATGTGAAGATGGCGCCTAAGGTGAGTGATGTATGCCCTACAACGCTGGTTGGACGTAGATGGCTAATATGCACTGCGCCTCGCATTGCGTAGATCTTCGGCAAAGCAGATAGGGTTGGACGTCCCCTAGCCGGACTCTTTATTACTCTTCTCATCGGAGGTGGCCTGGCCTACCTCAACGTGAGCAACAGCGGCGAGGAGGTCTTCACCTGGTTCTCCAATCTCACATCTCTCTTCACCCTGTTCGGCTGGGGGATGATCTGCCTATCGCACCTGCGGATGCGTTATGCCTGGAAAGTCCAGGGCCGCGATGTATCCGAGCTGCCGTGGAAAAGCTGGACATTCCCCTACGCCGCCATCTGGGGATTGATATGGTGTATCTTGCTCATCATCGCAGAGTTCTATCTGAGTGTGTGGCCGCTTAAAGGACAGACCACCGCGAAGAATTTCTTTGCCAACTATGTCAGCGTTGTTGCAATTGTTGTCATTTATATCGGGGCCAAGATCTACTATCGTGGGCCTTTTTGGGTGGATGCGCGGACGATCGATCTCGACGGTCTCCGACGGTTCTACGTCAAGACTGGCGATGAAGAGGAATCTGTGGGGGAGAAAACGGGCGCGGTAAAACATGTCACCAAAGCGGTCCGATTCTTGTTCAATTAAATCTTGATGGAGGGTAGCATGGTATTTCCGTTTCAGAGGATAGTGTTGTATATATTGTCGATGAATATTGTTTCATGAAGTTATTAAATGTTTGAAGCGCAAATTGCTGCTGTAACGGTGACATTGACAGAAACAGATGGTTCGGGTGAAGGGCCATGTGCCGCCTCATAAGTCAAGAGATTTCCATCACGTGTATCGAATTGGGGATGTGGTTTAGTGGTATAATGTTCGCTTAGCATGTGAAAGGTCCGGGGTTCAATTCCCCGCATCTCCATCTTTTTTTTTCTTTTTACTTTCCCTCCATTTGTAGCTTGAGGATATGATATTATACTCCCTTATGGACTACTGGATGTCTCTTCAAGCGCTCGGGATCTTTCCTGTATAGATCGTCGTAACTGTGATACATATCACGTTTTCTCAAGGTGTGGAAACTTGTCAGGACCCAGCAATATATATTCCCAGAGAAGTATGGGAACAATGGGGTGAGCTGGGCACTACGAACTAGTAGTTGTTGGCTCAACAAGAAGATGTTTTTTACATTATGTCATTGAGAATTATCAACGACAATAGAAAGATTATTAATTTCCATCATATGCCTTCTACTACCATTCTGAACTATCGAGAAACACTCGTTCTTATTCCAGTGATGCGATGGCTTGGAAAAGCAGACCGCCTACCGGAAGGATTTGCTTTTGCCGGCAAGGAACTGCCAGAATTGAGTAGGCGGTGGAACAGAATGCACGTGTCACAGCGCGAATGATGTCATTGATCAGGTTCACTCTCAATCAAAGTTGTCCACTTCATCAAAAACGCCTCCACGTCATCTGTATCTCTCGTCTTTACATAGCCTCCCCTGGGAAAACCACCTGGCCTTTTCGGGTAGATTTCAACTGCCGCACTCCCTGTCGCGCACCGGGGCATTGGCCTTGATGGTTCTGAAAAGGGGGGTCGAGGCAATGGGGGTATTTCTGCAGTGATTTCATGAGCTCCGACCGGTTGTTGCACATAACTAAATGGGTTGGATGGCTGTTGGAATGGTGCAGACTCGATATACTGCTTCTTCCGCTTGATGCTTATATTTTCATTGATTCGTGACCTCAACCGGTCAACAGAGCCCTGTTCATAGCCACTTTCTGAAGTTGAAGCAACGTAATCCACATTTGTACGCCTGCTTCTTATTGCCCGCTGGTCGAATTTGGAAAAAGTCACGGCATACTCTTTGCAGAGTATAGAATATTGTTCCCAGAACCACGGTGCAACTCGCTGACCATGACGAGCTTCGCAGTGGCTAATTTCCGAGTAATAGCATTGTAGAATGTCGTCTATCATTCGACGATATTGATCATATTCGATTTTAGACTGATAGGCGTCAATCTCGGACAGGACTTTCTTCACTAAGGCGTCGTACTCTCGCAGCTGCGACGACAGTAATTTGTTCGTTAATGGAGCATCATCGCATGCAAATGTCATGGTAAGAGAGGCCGGTAGCTGGGATTCGTTCGGCTGGTTATCCGTAACTTTGGCAGACTCCAAGGCCTTTGTCAAACGTTCAAATTGAGTTTCGTACGTTTTCTTCTCCCCGACAAGTGTGCGAATCAGCTCTCGCTGCTCCTCGAGGACGCTCGATTCTGCTCGACTAGCCAAATTGGTCCATTATTATGCCAAGCTCGTCGCATTTCGACCAGGGAAATTCTTACCTACGCAGCTGGCCAGCATACATGATTACGTTAAGCATCAGAAGCATGGTTGACTTCAGGCGCTCCAAGTTGACTCTGAGAACCTCCAGGTCTTCCTCAATACACAGGAACCCGACCTTTCTTGCTGCCTTCTGGAGAAGGCCTTTCGTGGCTTTCTGGTCGGGATAATCCACCGCATCGCTGATCCGTTGGAACACCTTTCTACATTCTCCTAGCACTTGTTGGGCGGTAGCAAATGCCTCTATAGAATAGAGTTTAGCATCCTCATCCTGTCGGAGGCTGTCGCCTAATTGACGTAGAACATTACACGTCAAGGCAACATCACTGGAGAGGCTTTGGATGCGCTGGTCTGTGTCTTTGAGTCTGCGGCAGAATGTATAGAGCTTAATTGAGAGATGCGTGCCAAGTTCTACGACTTGGAGAATGCTGGCAGCAACACCGATGACTTCTAGTCCGGACATAGCATAGCCTCCGTCGTTGGAATCAATCAGTTTGGAAGGTGAAGTGGGAGAGAACAAGCGTATCCGATTTGGTTGCTGAGTGCAGGTGAGGCTGTGCTCCTTGTCGCCTCGTGATCGACACGCAATGATTGGTGCAAGTGGTCGAAATTGTGCAGCCAATCATTGCAGACCGAACGGTGTTATTTTAGGATATGCCCTGAAAACCTGAAGTTGACAGCAACCTCTAAGAGATATGACCGATGCACTATACATATCCACGGGGTATTACTCGATGGGGACTATGGGGAGGAAGAAAACTGCTCGATTGAGTTCTCGGCATCGGTTTGACAGCATTGGAACTTTAGAGATGAGGAGGCCAGCTTGGTCATAGGTCGCATCGTATCAGTATCTCGAAACTAGTTCATACTGACATATTGCCGTAGCTTAGATTGACGCAAAGGAATTGAGCGATAGCGAGAGACGCTTATTCTTACAACACTAATCGTTGAGAAGCGGTTCTCTATCAAACCCTTGGGACGTACAGCGGCTATCGCGAAGGTGCCCAAATAGTTCGAGGGTAAACGGTGATGCGCTGTTAACTCGAGGAAATCAGGAGTCTCCGGGAAACATTGACCGGAGTAAAAGGACTATCTATGACGATTTTAACTCTGATGTAGTGACCTGGGCTATGGCATTCTCTTTGTTGTTGGCTAATATGCATTGCTGTCGTAAAGCGTACACCGACTGGGTATGCACTTTTGTGAAGGAGGTAGTATCACCCAACAAACGGCCCGAAAGTTTCCCAGCGGCCCGAGCTTATCGCCTTAGATGTTGGATACCCCTCGTTGGATTGTCAGGCACAACGAAAGAGGGGGGATGAGGCAACGTGGTTGTCCATCTGGAGTGATGCGGTGACAAACATGCCCGAGGACTATGCCGATGGCATCGTCGTCATAGGACATTCGGATGTCGGGAAAGCCATCCCCGGCCGATTCAAAATTCCATTGAGAAGGAGAAACCAAAAAGAAGTGATAATGGTGGAGCCCAAATGCCGGTCAACTCTGCAGGTGAATGGTGGGCTTCTGTGAGTCACACGCTTTGTTTCCTGAATTGGGGCCTGCTCATAACAAGGAAAATATTTTCTGCAGATGACACCAACACAGACCAGCTAAACTGTACCAGTACCCCTGAGAAGGAGGGGTTGTAGTGGACCATGCTCTGGTGGGTTGCATGGTATCTTCCGCGAGTGGTATAGTTTGTATAGGATAGTGCCAGTCTGCGTGGTCGTGATCTCTGCCACAGCAACCCAAAGTCCCTCAGCAAATGAGTCATTGCTGTTGAATCTGACGTCTCTTATTGGTGGAGAAGTTGGTAATATTTTTTTCCCTACCTAACCAGCCACTTCCTTTCGTTATGGTTGCCGGTTGTTTGTTGTTCAAGGGTGTTAGGCAGCTGGAAAATATTCCTAAAATGCTAGAAATTCCGTGAGTGGTCACGGGCCACGGACCACAGGATTATTAAGCCGGACGATGTGGTGTGCGCTCATTGGACACGAAGCACCTGACCGCGGACTATACTATTCTGGGCGACCAGCAGGCCATCTCGTCCATTCAATCTGGAACTAAAGCATGCCTGATGATTGACGATGCCTAAGAACGAGAAAGTACAGGCAGGTTTATGCACCTTATCCATGGTTTGGCTCCTTGCTCATGCTGTCATAGGTTGTCTGATTTGAGTAGTCCAACGCCTCAGGGGAATCAGAGTAGAGCTTTCAGGGGAGCGTTTCAGCATTGTTTCAGGTCTCAGGGCTTAGTTTCTTCAATGATGCCTACCCTAAGAACCTGACATGATCGGAACCCCAGACAACTCAGACGCTTTGACGCGGTACGCGAACGATAACTGGACTGGGTGCATTTCATGTGAAATGGGACCCACCGGGAGTCGATCTCCACTCGACGATTCCAGAGATCTTTTAGTGACGCTTTAGTGTGAGGCGTGGTGCTGCCAAAGAGCGGTGAATTCGCTTCGTCTCTGATCTGTCATCTCATCATAGGTCTATTGCCACTGTCGCTTGTTCGCCTGCCTCTCATGCCTTACCGCGCCTGCTATTCTCGTGCACGCATGGCAATTATCGTGGAACAACCGGAGATTTTTCATTCCCAAAGACAATGATCGCAAGAGATGTGTCTGATAAAAGGGGGCCCAGTAGCCATGGGCTGCGAGGGGGAACTAGAACCAACTTTTCTACTATTATCCTATTCTATCCTCTCTACAAAGACACTTGAATGTTGAGAGCGACAGTTCGCAAGATCGTTACCTTTACCGTACCTCCCTTATACTACTTTATGCTGTCAACGTTACGAGGCTTCCTCTCGCAGTTGTGTCCGTGCCGCAAGATGGAGTGCAGGCAAAATACTTCCCGCTTCCCGTCGCTCTTGACGAGCTTATGGGGCCCTCGACGGTCGCAACAGTCCCTCTCCGTTTCCACATCGACACAGACTCAGACACAAACCCGCGCGCGCCGGCACCAAAGATTGATATCGCATCCACATTACAGAAGAAACGGTCTGCCGAACAAGATCGAGTGAGTCGTGAGACCGCTCAAAAAGAGTTGGTGGGCGAAATTGAGAATCTAGTGGGACTGGAGAACGTCAAGCGCCAGCTGCTTGGGGTGCAGAACTGGGTGCAGATCTGCCGTCGACATGGTCGAGAACCTCGCAATGAGTGGTACAACATAGTGTTCCAAGGGAACCCAGGCACAGGTGAGTTTATCTCCATTGGTCACAATTGGTGAGCTCAGATACTAATCATATTGATTCCGTAGGCAAGTCTACCGTTGCCCGAATCTACGCCAAGATGCTCTACGCCATCGGCATCTCCGACTCCAACACCATCAAAGAGACATCTGGTCGAGACCTTGCCATCAAGGGCCCTCAGGGCGCCCAGAAGCTAGTCAAAGAGATGGCCAACTCCGAATCTCCTTCCGCACCGACAGCCGGTGTCTTGATCGTGGACAATCCTCACGCCTTGATGCCCTCCAAGCTCGAATCCCATAAGGAGATCCTTGACTGCCTTCTTCAGGCTATGGAACGGAAGACCGGGCGGATCATTGTCGTCTTCATTGGCCATGGCCCCGATATGGAGACCTTTCTCAATGAGAACCCCCGAGTGCAGCGCCGGATGTGTAGTACCGTGAACTTTGCGGACTTCGACCGCCATGAGCTTCTTCGGCTCTTAGGACGCCGCATCACGGAGGAATACGGCGGAAAAATGCAGGCCGAAGGCGGGCTCGACGGCCAGTACATGCAGGCTGCGGCTCGCCGACTTGCCCGCAGTCGCGGTGAAGGATTCACCAACATCTATGCCGTGCGGCAGCTTGTGGAGACCATCGCACACCGCCAAGCTGAGTGCCTGATGGAGCAGCAGGACATCGGAATGGAGGATGTAGATTACTTCTTCTTTTCCAAGGATGATATTCTGGGACCCAACCCGTCCGACATCCGGTCCCAGAGCGCCGCATGGACATCTCTGCAGTCATTCGTGGGGCAGGAGCCCGTCAAGGCCTCTGTCCGTGAGGTCTTCGGCACGGTGGAGGAGAACTACTGGCGGGAGGTTAAGAACCAGAAGCGGTTGTTGGTGCGAGTGAACCGTGTGTTCGCTGGTCCACCGGGCACGGGCAAAACCACTGCAGCGAAGCTGTACGCGCAGATCCTTGCGGATCTCGGTCTCCTCAGCAATGGCGAAGGTGAGTAACGTTGAAGCCTTAGATATTACCAGTAGCTAATTGTGCGGCAGTGACTGTCAAACCACTCTCGGCGTTTAATAACCTCTCTGATACTGACGGCATCCTCTCTTCGACGGTCGGAAAAGCTCTGATCATCGACATGGACACCCCGGAGACCGATGACAATGACTTCAAAGTCTCCGATAGTGTGCTGGATATGCTCATCAAAGAGCTGTCTGCGAACGGGGAGAATCGCTGCACCATTCTCGTCGGCTCCGACCATGCCGTTGACACACTGCTCCCAGAACTCAGGGAGGCGTCAAGGATGCTCGAACACCAAGTGGTTCGATTCCAGCCGCTCACCCGAGAGCAGATGGAGGAGCTCTTCCAGGCAAAATTGCAAGAGCAAGATGTGGATGCTACTCCTGAAGCCTTCCAAGCGGCCATGGATATCCTTGAGAGCGCCCGGATGCGCAAAGATTTTGACAACGCACGCGGGATTGAGCGTCTTCTGACGGCTGCCAACCGCAATTTCGACCAGAGGCGTTCTCGTGCGCCCGACGAGCCTTTGTCACAACGTGTGCTCGAGCCCGAGTACTTCAACGCCGACCTGGTGGGCGGTAAGGCCGCTCTGGCATTCCGGGAAGAACTGCGTCACTCGATCGTCCCTGACGACATTATCTCTGTGTTGAAACGGTATCACAATGAGATGAAGATCGCCTGGTTTCAGGGCCATGACCCCAGAGCACGAGTCCCGTGCACACTCGTTTTCAAGGGCGCCAGTGGTAAGCTATTTCTACTGCTTCGAGTGGAAGACAATTTGTTGACTGACCGTGACAGGAACTGGAAAGAAGACTGTCGCCCGCCATCTAAGCGCCTTGTACTACAAGATGGGGGTCTTGAAGACTTCTGCCATGGTTGAATGCTCGGTGTCTGATCTCGTTACCACGAGTGTCAGTCACACATCGATCCGGACTCGATCGCAGCTGGAGCGCGGACGCGGCAAGCTGCTGTATGTTGAGGATGCCCATCGATTGGGGGACAACGAATACACCATCCAGGCGATGGACGAGCTCATCTACCTGCTGCCTAAGCTCTCCCAAGAAATGGTTGTCGTTCTCGCAGGTCCTTCTCAGGAATTAGACCACCTGCTCGCCAATCGACCTCGCCTGGCAAGCCTCTTCCAGGAAGAAATTCCCTTCCGCAATCCAACTCCTCGTGAATGTCTCCGCCTGTTGGACCGACGGCTCGAGGAGGAAGGTGTCCAGGGTCCTCGCCTGTTCCTGACCGACCCGCGCGAGGTAACTCACCGGGAGTTCACCCGAGCCATTCAGATTCTCTCCATGTTCCCCTGCTGGGGTAACGCCCGCGATATTGGGCTTCTTGCTCGGTGGATGGTGTCCGTTGCTGTCAAGGATATGCCGCTGGACGGCATGACTGTCCCCGAGGTCCGCCTGACCGACGAACAGGCGATGGCCTGCATGATCAAATTGTTTAACCTGAAGCGCGACCGCCTTCGTTTCAACCAAGATCCCAAGGCCAGGACTCTTCCTCGCATCCTCTCTCAGCCACGGAGCACAGAACGTGGCGGTGTTCGATTTCCCGTTTGACACAGCTGACGATCGGTACTCTGACTTGACCGTTTCTATGCTTTCCTTTTCTATGTTCGTCCTATTGATGCTCATTTAAGATGTATCAACATGCTTTTGTGATCCAGCCACACAGATTGACTATGACATTGGCTTTTTGTTTTTAGAACTATCATGACTGGCGTTGGGGATTATGTTTTGAGCGATGACCTTCACTGAAGTTTCCTGTGTATATTTCCTTTGTTTCGGTTGATCTCCTGTTCCGCTTTATATTCCACGAACGGTGTTTGCATTGCATGATTCCAACCACGTACTACCTTGCATTGTTTGTTCGATTCCTATGAAAATATATGTATTGCTTCAAGTCTGGTACTTGTGCTCAATATCACATCTATATCTGAGGTCTTTTCTCCTTTCAGTGTCTCCATATTTTTCCTCCTCCACCTGTCATGTATAACGCTGCATCTGCCTTGCATAGAAGAGATTCACATACCATGGATTACCATTCACCCTCCATAGATAGAATGAATTCATTAACAACGCACAATTCGACGTTCACCTCCTCGTAACCTTAATTAGGCTTCAGAGCGATCTACAGCCGAAATGAACCTTGTTATGTCCTGGACGATCCGAGCATCCATGGTCTAGTTTCTATTTATAACGAGTCGGAAGTAAGGACGAGCGACTCCCTTGCAGCAAGACGCAACCCCGCAAAGGTGTCTACGTAGTTCTGCATACGAGGGGTCACTGAGGTGATTTAACCGTGTTCTTGCTTCTATTGTACTTATGCGATCGTTATGGATCGAGATGGCCCATCACCGAATTTTCGCCATAACACCCCACTAACTAGACCAGTGAACTCCAAGTACTCCTTGGCCATATTTACGGCTGCTGTTGCTCCCAAAGTCTCTCACTCGACACGTTGTAGGGCGGTCGCAAGAGTTTGGAGTAGCTTTGCATATGCAAGGCCGTGATGTATGATTGCTAGTTGGCCACTCGTCTCTTCTTGTTTTGATTTGTTCTTGGGACGTGAGGGGGATGGTTCGTGGGCATATATTTGATATCCACGTACTGTCGATTGCCTCTACTGAATAACATTGGGCAGAGCTCCATATTTTACACCCCAAGGCTAGGGAACGGTAAATTGGGCACTGAAAATGGGTACTCTTCACGCCAGTTTAAGCGTCCTATTGACCAGAACCTTAGTCACTGTGTTCTGCACAGGTCACTTGGATCTCGATGCCTGAGGATCAGCAATCGTTCCTGTCTGTGGAAGGCACGATGAAGTACCATGACCCGAAGAATCACAGAGTGCCTCGGTCATCTTGATGTCAACAAATGCTGGTCGCTGCTGGTCGCTGTTTGAATACAGAGCTCTTCATCTGTTCAAAAATGTCTGAGCCTACATTCCACACCTTCGCGCTGGTAGTTTTTGGAGGCGGGTGTTGGACACGACCATAGCAACGGACTTCGTGATGACCGCGAAGAAGTTCATGGCAGACGGGCTGTATCCGACATGTCTCTCAGGAACCCATCTTTATGATATCACAAATATGTATGGGCCGTTTCCATTCGGGCGAGAGGATTTGCGAGAGAGGGTCCCTATTTACGATAGCCAGGAGGCCATGAGGGCCATTCTATCGTCTAGAGGCCCACGGCCTCAAATCACACATCATGGACGGGATCAGAAATGTCTCCAACCAGGTAGGCCCTGGCGATCGCATTACAGTTGTTCTGATAGGGCATGGTACCCAGAGAGACGGCGCTGTCACGCTTTATCCTCAGCACGCAAAACAGGAGTTTCTGTCCAAAGCTGAGATGATTGCCGCGCTCTCTGTCTTGCCGCCTGATGTCCGTCTCCTGATCGTCAACGAGGCCTGTTACTCCGGCACGTGGACCATGATAGCCCCGGAGGTAGGCACCCAGCGAGATGTGCTTGTCGAGACAGCAGCCACCCTCGGCGAGCAGTCCTGGAGCTATACCTCGGGCTCCGGCCGAAACCGGTGCTCTTTATTCGGAGCAGCGTTTGTGGAGGAGCTTACCACCCAGCATCACAGTCGAATAGTCGACGAGATGCGCTATGTTGGGCCTGACCAGATCACCTCTGCACCGCTGGTGATCTCCAGCCGCGCTCTTCTGTCCCACAATATCTCGCATTTCATCCTCGCACCAAAAATTGCGGCTGCGATCACGAATGTGGCTTCTGCTCCGGATCGTCATGAGGAATTTCTGCAATCACAGACTTCTGCCCGGACTTTTTGGAGAAGACTTCGTCGCAGGATGAGTTTAGAACGAGAACCAGCGTGGAGAAAGAGGTGCTTGGGTTTCTGGCTTAGTTTGTGTGTTTCTCGCTCTCCTTTCCGTTGCTAGCCTTATGTGATTCTCTAGTGAGCTGATTGTCAGTGGAGCGCTTCTGTGTATCTTATAAGCAACAAATGTGGGGAGGGGCAGGTTATAGATCTGCTTAATTTAGTTTAATTTGGGGCAGTGCAGAACGAGGAATCCACTTGATCCCAAATAGCCTGGTTATCGATGCAAAGGGTAGTAGCGGTGCTTTTCTGCCATCCACATCGTCCTTTTCTTTCATGATGCTACCAGGAGGTTGAGATAGTGATATTTGAACATGTGTTTCATGAGTATACATTTGCAACCCGCCATTTGCATATCCTGGCATTCGCCAAGAGTGCATTCGGTGTTGATCAGGGTCAGTTGCCGGAAGATTTGTCTTCGAGGAAAGCATTCTGCCAGGATTTGGAGAAGCGGGGGCTACTTGACCTACTATCATCAGCTGAACCTAAGCAGATTGGATTCACTTTCGAGTGGTATAGGCACAGCTCCTGAAGCAGGAAAAGAGACATACACCACCTGGAGATATACATTGGACTAAGCTATGCTAACTTAATGTATCTTTTCGAACCGTAACATATCAAGGTCGCTTCCGCGGAAAGGTGGTTGCATGCAGTATCATGTAGCGCTGTAGACCCTAGCCACAATTCACACGTGGCGACGGTTGCTTTGACGTTACGGCCACGACAATCATGCTCTCTTCTTCAGTTCCATGAAGGAGTCCGCGCTGCCGGCTGGGTGCACGCAACCCACAATTTCCAAGGGTGGGTCGATGGACATAAACAACGCGTCCCAGTCCTCGTAGGATCTCTCTTTGCTTCCGAACTGAATCATCATCTGCATGTCTAATGCTCTCATGACTCGCTCGCGCTGCCAAGATGCAGTTCCAGGGCTTTGAAGAATTTGCTCTGCCACGACGATGGATGCTCCTGGCTTCATGCTCACAGCAAGAGCCTGCAGAATGGCGCGACAATCATTGTCATTCCAGTCGTGTAGAATGTGTCGCAGGAGGAACACATCCGCCTCGTGACCTAATGCCGACTGGGGTTTGAAAAATGAGTGCGGCAAGAAGACGACCCTGGACTTCAAGTGGCGAGGGATATTGCCATCGGCACTATCCTTCAGCTTGAGATTGTCCTCCACGATCACAGCTAAAGTAGGATACTCTTCTGCGAGCCTTATTCCGACGAATCCATCTGCACCGCCAACCTATGATTATTAGAAACCTATAGGAGGGTTTAACTGGACACATCAATACTCACATCCACGACAATGGCTTTTCCCAGCTTCTCCCAGGCGAAGCCCTTCAGAACGTAACTCACATCATGGGCCCCACCACTGGTAATTAATGCCATGTATTTCCCGTAATTTTCGATCAGTTCCGGTCTTTTGGAGGCAGACGTCCACCACGTATCCTCAGTATTATGTGCTATCTGATATGGGCACTTGTGTTCTCTGTCGCTGTCTTTCAACCAGTCCAGAAGCCTGACCATGGACGGTAAACAAACGTCAAGCTGGTAAGTAAGCAGCGGTGACAGCCGTGGTATCTCCCGGGAAACATCTGTCTGCGCAACACAGTCTGGCTCCGGTTCGCTGAATGCACCGTAGGTCATGGCCTGTCGCAAGATCCGGCGTAGAATGTCCACAGGCAGCCCGCACTTATGGGCGAGTTCAGACATAGCAATGCTTCCACTAAGAGGAACGATGGACGCGATCCGGTAATGGTTGATGACCTGCAAGGATGCAAGATTCTGTCTGTCCTTTGTACATCGGGTTAGCCAAGGACTATTCATGGTGTGAGAAAGCGGCTTGTTACAATCAGTGCCATCTCTTTGAGCATCTCTGCAGGACTCGTAACAAGAGCCAGCATCCTACGACATGCCTCGATCACGTTGGCACGGGCGTTGCATGCATGTTTTGAAGACTCATCCTGAAGCATGGGGATCGATTGTGAGATGGAGTTTGCCAGCTCCAGGAGGCTGGAAGAGGAAGAAGGAACAGGTGCCATGACGCTATTCCATCTGCCAAAAGCGAATGAAGGTGAGGTGGAAGGTGAAAAGAAAGAGGAGACAGAAGATGGGAGAACAAAGTGAAATGGGAGGGGAAAGTGAAGTGAATGAAAGATTGGATGGTCACTGACATCACGTTGGCCGCATAGCCCTTTCACAAACTTCTTTATCTGGCACCAGGTCCAGAATACCTACATCCCATTCACCCATCCTCTAGCCATCACGCTACTTTCCCCATTCTCTAGGAAGGCTACAAACAACACCAAAAAAGATGCATCGTACTATTCGGAATATATCTATTGGCTATAGCTACTGGAAATTGTGGAGAGGAGCTGTTCCGTATAGGAGGTGCGAATATATTGCATGACGCGACGGAGCCTCAAGGCTAGAGAAGCAATGCCACGTTCATCCATGGTTTGGCCTTCAAGAACTGAAAAGGGGCCCCAAACCCGCTAAAAAGATCAGCTGGAGGACAGATACCACGCACATGGCAGATGCTTACCACTTCAGAGAGCTGCTGCGATGCGCCCGCAACGCCGTAGATAATATAGAACTTCCAATCTTCTCCAAGGACAGTGCAACCGACGATCGGCGGAGGAGATACGTGGGTACCACCTTGGTGTTGACTGGAATATGCCCAGGACATCAAGCCGGTCAACCAAACCGACAGCTGTACCTGGGCCTCGATCAAATTTCCATCCAGTGGTTTGACCTCCACACCTAGCCCAAGTAGCCTTTTTCCGGTATGTGGATGGTCGATATGGCTCAGGTCCCGACCGAAGACATCGATTCCCACGCGCTCGTATTCCTCTTTCCATGATTCCTTCGGTAGCCCCACGACTAGATCGATTTTTCGATTGAATGTATCCTTCGCAGTATATCGCGGCAGGTATTTGGAATAGACCGATTCCGTTTGTTTATAGGGACTATCAGTACCGATGCAGTCTACTCCGCAGAGTAGATTTGGGATAGATCATAGCATACACACTCCAAGACTCCAAAGGAAGATCGTCGATTGCCGCTTCCAGCAACGGTCGAACGACATCCATCACCCAAGACCCCTCACTCCGAAGCTCGGTAGCACAGCGAGACGATGCTGATGATATCTTCTTAACTATGTCCGTACTTGCTTGCCATGGTGTGCTATCATCCGATGTGAGAAAGCTCAACAAGCTCTTGGCCTCTATACACCCGGGGTCTGCGCTACCGTGCACAAAAACCACCTTCGGCGACGCCGTTGCTAGTTGAGCCTTCACGCGGGTAGGGCTAGATGAGCGTCGGCTCGATGTCGACTGTGTAAGAGATGGGGCCAGCGAGATGTCATCCCGAAATGGCCCTAAACTAGGCCTTACGTTACCCGAGCTTTCTCGTTGCGGTCTCTTTTGCGGGGCGGACTGCACTATTGGGGGGTCTGGATAGCTCCGCTTTCGTTGCTCTGTTTCAACGTTTTCTAGCCAAGAGAGCCACGCACGGTTGGCATCGGAGCTCGCGGTACTACTGGACTGCAGCTCTGTCGATACAGTGTCGATCCATCGCTCAATAGAATCATTCGCGTTGTGCTCCATACGCAGTAGCAAAAAGGGTGGAGAAGTGACGTATGGAAGAACTGCGCATAAGGTAAACTAGATCGATACTGACGGCTGGGTCTGAGGTTGCTAGGGTAACGATCGACACGTGCTTACACTTCTTCTTGCATACTTCATATCTGAAAAGAGCAAGAAGGGAAAGCTGGCTCATAGGTAAGTAAGTTGGGTGATATATAACATGTCCAGTCATAAAACATCACAACTGCCAAGTACTGAGTCACTTAGTGAAGAAACTGGGTATCAAGACTGGTGATCCATTCAGGCGTTTCAAGAGGCCTCCTTAGAAACCCATCCGATCAAGGTAGGTTATACTCTCAAAGAGAGTCGGTGAGTCTCATGGTTATACCATGCTGAGTACTGTCTTGAGTCTTCATTCAAGCTGAGCTAGTACCCCCCGAGTCGATGCACAACAAGGAGGATTATATTAAGGTCAACCGCCTTGTCCATCTTACCTTTAATAATTAATATACAAGAGCTAAACACTATCAGGATCTGTATGTATGCAGATATACGCAAGGTGGTTCCATTAATTCAGCATGGTGTGCGAACATTGTACGTGGGGGTAACAATTTTAGCAATCTATCAACATCGCCAGAATGCCCTGACATTGTCTTCCCTCCCAGACACCTCAAATATGATCATGAAGGCTGAAAATATGGCCTTCTCGTCCACCGCAAAGCCGTGCTCTGGTTAGTATAGATGACAATTCACGTTGATCACGCTGGGCTTCTGCTCATCCCCTGGTCCCCATCGGATACTGCATGGATCGTCATCTTTTGTACACTAGATACCAGTTGTAATATCAGCAATATGATATCATAGCCTCAGTGGTGTCCTTACCGGCTTGTCTGTATCACATTTCCGCCGAAGATTTCCCTTCTTGCGCCGTCGATCCACACGGCATTGGCCGGCGTTTCCACCCATTTTGCAGTACTTGATATAGTTAGCCGGATGCAAAATGATTTGAAATGTGTCCTTCGTCGCTGACTAACCCCTGTCTCGATCATGTACATAGGGTCCACACCATTCTGAGGATCGCCTCGCAATGGCGGCAGTTTCCTGTTGGGATAGGTGGGTTGCACTGCAACGCTAGAGCCAAGAAACAGCAAGGTGAGAAGGATGACAGAATGCATGGTAGTCTGTGTGCTTCTTCAACAAGGACCTAGAGGTTAAAGAGCATAAGATGATAGCAATAATGGTGTGCCTGATCTCGTTAGGAAAGATAATATGATGCGAGAGGAAAAGGCTCTTTATATACCTTAGTTTCAAGCGTTGATAGTAATTATTCTTCTTGATGGCCCATATAGGTCCATATCTTCCGGTCTGCCCATAATCTTCTTTGCATGATCATGCTTGGATAGTTTGTCATGAGCATAAGATAAATCCTGTCGGGCGCAGCAGGCTCCTGAAGTTCTTTGTCGCTCTAGGACATGTTGAGATAGCCAACCCACACTGGAGAGCGTGATACAGGGGTGCCCGAGATCCCGTGTCATGGAGAGGACATGCTTGCGACAATATGACTGCCGCGCACAGGCCGTGAGCTGCCGTTATCGAGGAGGTCTCCGTGCACCGAGCCCTGGTCCTTCCCCTTAGACGCTCTGACTAGGGCCTCGACTGGTGGGCCACCTGGTGTTACATAGGACTTCTCCAATAGAGCCCCTGACAAAGGGACGGGCACATCGCTAGAACCCCTATGTCAGTGTTACTCTAGCCAAGTGACATGGCAGAGACACTCACATCTTGGCAGAGCAGGGCGGCGCTGTACCGACCGAGGCGGATAAATCCCGGGTTTCTTCCTGAGTAGTCCACCTTACTCTGAATCTAAAATGCCATCGAAGGGGAAGTATTAGGTCTGGGCTCATATCTATAGTGCTTCACGGTCTCCCGAGATCTAGTATGATATGCGGAAGTTCCGCTCCGCGAACGGAGTGGACCCGCGACAAATGTACATCGAGAGTAGCGATGAACAGTATTAAACTTAGACAATGCCATGGGCACTTGATATTTCTTTCCATTTATTAGCTCCGGCCAATTCATTGTTCTCGTTGTTCTGTGATATCTTCCAATAATCAGAAATGCTGAGGCTCGACGGAAAAGTTGTGCTCATTACTGGGCTGGGCCAAACTACCGCAGATGGATGGGGGATTGGGGCAGCGATCGCAATGAAACTCGCCCAGCAGGGGGCAATAATCTTCGGCGGGAATCGCACGTTGGCCTCGGCGCAAAGGACCAAAACGCGGATTGAAAGAGAGGGCGGCGTGTGTGATGTCCAGGAAACCGACGTTACCAATTCGGCATCCGTGAAGGCTTTGGTAGACAGCTGTCTGCAGCGACATGGCCGCATTGATATCTTGGTCAATAATGTGGGCAAGTCGGAGCCTGGATGTCCCGCAGACATGAGTGAACAAGTCTGGGATCAGCAGGTCGATTTGAATCTGAAAAGCATATACTTGACCTGTCACTATGTCCTACCCATCATGGAACAGCAAGAGACGGGCGGCTCAGTTGTCAATGTTTCCAGCATTGCGGGGCTACGATATATTGGAAAACCTCAAGTCGCCTACTCGGCTACCAAGGCGGCCATCATGCAATTCACCAAGGCCACGGCCGTGATCTATGCGCCAAAGAACGTCCGACTGAACACGGTAGTGCCTGGGTTGATCTATACGCCATATACCCAAGCGCTCGCCAAACGATATGCTCCAGGAGGAAACGAGGAGGAATATATGAAGATGCGTGACGCACAGGTTCCTATGGGACGGATGGGTGACGCTTGGGATGTGGCCCACGCCGCCCTGTTCCTGGTCTCTGATGAGGCGCGGTATATAACGGGACAGGAGGTTGTGGTGGATGGAGGAATCACATCGTCTACAGGGAGAGCATAATCCTTTTTGAAATATCCAGTCGGGTATAGATAGGTAGTGAATTTGCAATTGGTCTTGATTTGTATCTGGAGTCGTCTGAACAGTGTAAACGCTATGACCGATATATGTTGGGTCACGATGGCTTCCGTGCCCGAGGGTTCTACACATGTAGCCCACCCATGACTCCTTGTTGATGTTAAGCTAGCTGACCATAGCGCGAAAGGCAAAGGCTCAAGGCAATGAATAGCAGCGATCCTATCTCTATCATATTCAAAGATCCCCAATTGTGGAGTGGGTCAAGGGAGAGCATCCGTTCGGACCAGAACCGTGGGTCTGCCTCCGAAGCCCATAGATGTTGAAGCATTTATACCTTCTCAGATCGAAAGTTATAACAAAGACCAAGCTACTCCGTGCTACCCTCAAAGACTACAGAAAGTGTACATTCGATTTCACCAATATGACGCTCGTTCACATTGGTGAGTTATGCGCCTTGGTACCACGGTCCCCCTAACAGCTTCATGCAGTCCTCTTCAAATTCCGCTCCAATGTCAGCGAGGAGCACAAGCAGACCTTTGTCACAGAGTAGAAGAAATTAAAGCATCTATCATGTGTCAAAGCCGGATGCCTGCTTGTTGGAGGCCCTAGCGTCACAGACCCCATTGAACGCAGCAAGGGGTTCCAGATCGCGCCTGTGAGCTACCACGAGAATCGGGAAGTGCTGGCGGAATATCAGGCGAGTGATGAGCACCGCCGGTACGTATCTATTCAAGGTTCTACTGAATTGACGTCTAGAGGCTGACCTCACTAGCAGGGTAACCTTGACGTACATGTTCCCTTACAAGGAGGATTTGGTCCGGTTTGACTTTGAAGTGGACGAAGAAGATGAATATATGTGTCAATTTCCTTTATCTAGCCTAGGGACATAAAGGTATGATGTAGTGTTGCTTGTTCCGTGTAATCCATGGAGGATTTAATTGGTATCAGAGGACAGAATGGCTGTAGAGAAGGCGAGAGCGGGAGTTGAAGAGAATGACGACCACCCGTCACTTTCGAGTTTTCTGGCCTATGCGCTGCCAGTCGCTATATCATTATAGTTGAGGGGACCATGAGATAGCCCTTTTTTGGACCAAGCACCGCTCAGACAGTACGAAGCTGTGGCTGGGAATTCTACAGAAAGTCGGATCTCTTCCGCGTTTGAGACTGCGGGGAACATCCGAGAAAACCGTCGGCCCGAGCACGTTATTAAGGGCTGGATGATGCCTTTCGATACACCAGAAATTGACAATAATTACTATTCTTTTTACACGAAGGACTAGCATGGAGGCTCACAGCACAGTGAACGAAGACTACAATCTTCAGCAGCCAGTGGTTTCCACTACCGGGTTGCGACAAGGACTGACCTCCTATGGAGATGCCCACTTTTCCCTCTTCTTGCGCAAGGTATTTATCAAGGCCTTGGGATATTCGGAAGATGCCCTCTCTCGTCCAATTATTGGCATCATCAATACCGGCTCTGGCTTCAATCCGTGTCATGGAAACACGCCGCAGCTCATTGAAGCAGCCAAACGAGGTATCCATCTAAATGGTGGCATCGCCATTGACTTTCCCACCATCAGTTTGCATGAATCATTTTCACACCCGACGAGCATGTTTCTCCGAAACTTGATGAGCATGGACACCGAGGAGATGATTCGTGCGCAGCCTGTTGATGCGTGCATTATGATCGGAGGTAGGAACTACGTGCGCCACTCGTTCAAGTACATTCATGTTGATACCAGATAGGTTGCGACAAGACGGTGCCGGCCCAGATTATGGGAGGTATCTCCGCCAACAAGCCAGTCCTACCGCTTTTGACAGGGCCTATGATGCCAGGAAGTCATCAAGGACAGCGGATTGGCGCATGCACCGACTGTAGAAACAACTGGGCATCATACCGTGCCGGGACTATTGACATGGAAGAGATTGCGGCTGTCAATGAAGAACTGGCCCCAACGGTTGGTTTTCAGCTACCGATCACTGATGTACGCAACTGACATCTCGTGGAATAGATTGGCACCTGCGGTGTGATGGGTACCGCCAGCACTATGGCTTGCATCACGGCCGCCCTAGGCTTGATCCCCCTACAGGGAGCCTCGGCCCCGGCCGTGTCTGCGGCGCGGCTTCGCATCGCAGAGCAAACGGGTGCGAATGCTGTGGCTGCGGCTGAAGGTCGACGATCGCCGCAGACAATTCTATCGGCTGAATCGTTCTATAACGCCGCAGTTGTGCTGCAAGCGATCGGAGGCTCCACCAACGCCATGGTCCACCTGATGGCGATAATCAACCGCCATCCCGACATTAGCGGGTCTATAACTCTCCAGACGTTGGACGAGATCGGCCGTACCACCCCGCTTCTTGTTGATCTGAAGCCCAGCGGCGACAACTATATGACCGATTTTCACAACGCTGGGGGCATGCTGTGCCTTCTGCATCGTCTACGACCGCTCCTCCGCCTTTCAGCACAGACTATCACAGGGGAAACCCTGGGCGAAGTATTGGATCGTAGCCCGTTCCGAGACTTTGAGTACTCTCGAAATATTATCCGTACTTTGTCCAATCCTTTGCACCCTTGCTCGTCCTTAGTGGTTGTTGAGGGCAACATCGCACCACACGGGGCCGTGATCAAGGCCTCCGCCTCTAAAGACAAGCGTCTTCTCCGCCATACAGGACCTGCAGTTGTTTTCGAGAATCCCCGTGACCTTTCCCTCCGTCTCGATAGTCCTGAACTCGACGTGACAGCCGACTCAGTACTGGTGCTGAAAGGCATCGGTCCAATTGGAAACCCTGGAATGCCTGAGGCTGGGATGATTCCCATCCCACGCAAGCTAGCGGCCCAAGGAGTGACAGATATGCTTCGGATTTCAGATGGGCGGATGTCAGGGACAGCAGGAGGGACGATTGTTCTACATGTCTCGCCCGAATCCGCGGTTCCAGACTCACCATTTGGTGTTATTGAGACCGGCGATACAATCGTGTGTGATGTTGAGAATCGCGTTATTCGCTTGGACATCTCCGACGAAGAGCTGCAAAGCAGAATTGCACAGCGCCGGCGATTAATGTCGGAAGATGAGTCTTCCACCTGGAATGAGAGGCGGACCAGACGAGGATATCGGGGTCTCTACGAGCGGGAGGTGAACCAGGCGCATGAGGGTGCGGATTTCCACTTCCTTACCGCAAGAGGGCCTAATTGCCAATAGTAATTTGGACAATTGCCTCCTATTCGGGTATCTGTGATGGTTACATCTTAGGTAAATACCTCAATTGAAGATAGTCTCCCGATGGGATGAGCCCCAATCACGCTCTTGTTTCTGTATACACACGGTTGTAGGCGCGGAACCGTTTTAGGGTGAACCTTTGTACGAATCTGAGTATCGCAAATGAAGAACGTTTTATTGAAAATATGTAGGTGCTTTCCAGGCTCTAGAACACCCACAAGACTGGGTTAAGCCATATAATGACTATTCGCAGGAATATATATCAGTCAATAATATGAACTGCCAACAATGGAACTGGTGGAATCATGACTACTCTATTCTACCCAACCCTGTCGCAAACTCCGATGAACGACGATGTTACTCCCCCAAGGAATAATCGGCCGGAGATCGGGTCATGTATCGCCGTTGTTGTAGTTGGCAGGACCCTTGCTTCACCATCCTCGACGACCTTGACAACTTCGTACGCGTCCTCGGGGGCGTGACTACCCTGTTTCCTCCGGATCATGAGCACCGTCGATGGTGCCGGGGTACCATAGGGATCAGCCCAGGCCTTCCAAAACTTGGCTGCATCTGGGAAACCTCCCCCGAATACATTGCCCTCTGCATCGATAGACAGGTTATCAACGCTCATGGTAAGCGGAACCTCAGCAATTTGGACGAGTCGATTATCGTCCGTGAGCCTGTTGACCCCGAGGGTACCCTTGGCAGAGTGCGCAACATAGACATGGCCCGATGAAGGGTCCCTGGTGATACCATTGGGTAAGTAACAGTCGTCCGTCGTGGCGATGTGGCATTTCCCAGTATCCGTCCGGCAGTAGGCGATGCTGCCATCGCCAAAGAGAAAGCTCAGGTCTCGGAGAGCGCCGACTTTGGTGCTGTGATCATTGGTCACCAGGAAATCTCCCTTGTCATCATCTATTACCACCAGATTGTTTGGGGAGATGATGGCGTCGCTGACGATGGTCTTAACGTGCTCCAAATGATCCGTGCTGCGGGCATTGCCGAGGTCCAAATCGTAGACGTCGATGGTCGAGTTGGCCCCCACGTGCGTTGCGTCTGACAGAGACTCCCCCGTGGCAGTGTCGATGGGAAGCCGATGGTTGATCAGCCAGAATCGAAGTCGGCGACCGTGGTCAATCCGCCTCACGTCAAAGCCATGCAGGTGCAATTGTTGGTTGTTTGCTCCCTCACGGAAACCCAGTGCATGTACCCCGTACAAGCCGTCGGAGCCCGGTTCATCGATGTCTAGCACGCTGATGTGATCGGAGCCGCCGGCTGCGGCCAGCCCTGCGAGGTCGTAGGTGTTTCCACCGGGGCTCCAAGCCTTGCGCGCGGCTGGGCTGGAGCAAGCAGCATAGAGCTTGCGGTTCGTGGAATCCAGCCAGAGGTCCTCGCAACTCTCCAAAAGTGGGTGCTGGATGCGCTGGCAGCGATAACCTGGGAAGTCTTCGAGAGGCTGAACCACTCGACCGATTCCCAGCATGAGGACGACGGCATCATGTAAGTAGATTTTGTAGAATCCGATGGTGATGGCTAGAATGAGAACCACCAAGCTCGAGCGGAGCCAGCCATGGTTGATAGGTATCCTCGGTGTCGACGAGGGAGTAATCCTGAACTGGACTGAGCGAGTTGGCTTAGCTAGGATGGAGGGCTTGCCCTTAAAAGCCTCGTGAAAAAAATGGGCCGGAATCTCACTGCAGTTGACAAATTGAATAGGAAGAAGGTAATGCTATTGTGTTATGGAGGGTCGAATAAGAGTCTACGAATCCACCAGAACACTGCCACCTCGAACTGACAAACCCACCTCGTATCTATGCCAATGACTGTACAGTGTAGGGTCGAATTCCCCACAGCTCCACATTGATACACGATGTAACCAATCAAAACATCTAGCCGATGGATACTATTCTGACGGACCATTATCCTTACAATTGGGGGCCACAAAGGTACGATTGTGGGACGGCAGAAGAAGGCAAGCCTTGAGAGTTTGGGCTTTAGGCCGACTTCTGGTTTTATTCGCAGAGAACAGATATCGGAGACTGTAGCCAACCACTAAGAGATACTTTCTAACAGTGACTCTCATTCAGCTGTAGGATGGCGTAATATAAGCATTAAATCGGTTTGATGTAGCCCGCCGATTAAAATGTAGGATAGTAATCTTCCCGTTTTCCAATGTAAAGCACATCAACGAGGGCTCGAGTATGACGGTATGACCAGAAACACCTCGGCACCCAACAATATATCTGGACGATTGACCCGCATGGGGTATTGCGTTGGCAAAGTAGAAGATTCCTGATACCTGAAAGGGCCTTTACCTCAGTGTAGACAAATCGAGAACCACTTTTTGAGAGCTCTCATTCTATCAGCTTCCGTATCCAGCGACTCTATCACTCTGGTCCTCCCTCCCATATTCAACTTCACCTCGTTATTGACTAATATGATCTTCCCTGCGATATGCACTTCATCTGGTCCGGCTGGAATTTGAACAAGGGTCTCTTGATTCTCAAGGATTCTTCTCTCTTCACCGTGCCTAATAAACTTTACCGCGACAGCCAGCTCCCTCTGAAGAAACTCCCAGGCTGCAAATCGATTGATCACTTCAAAGTCCTCCTCGAAAAACTCAAGGTCGGGATAACAGTAAAAGGAGTTCCATTCCTTGTCCACACCGTTGCGACACTGGTAAATCCAGTGCTTTCGCTTTCTCTGTGACTCTTTGGAGATGTGGTCGTACAGCAAACGGGCTTCTTGCGTCCCAAGGGTTGTGATTGCTTCTCCAGACACGAGCGGAATTGGGCGGGTTGGGCCGTCGCCGCCAAATCCAACATCGAGATGATATCGGACTCCAGAGGGGAGCCGGACGATATTCGCCATGTGGACCCTGAACATAGTCAACGAAGAAAGTTCTCGTTGCTCTGCGTTTAGTGCCTACCATCCTCGATAATCCCCCTGCGGTATGCCATTCACCCGGTCTCGATTTCTTGCTCCTACCATGTACACATCAAATCCCAGACCGCGGAGGATGTGGTGGAAAAATATGTTGACTTCCAGACAATATCCCCCGCGGCCAGTGGGACCGGTTTCCCCAGTTCCCATCATTTTGGAATAGAGGGTGTCAGGGTCGATATCTGCCTGACGGGCAGCGGAGTAGTGGACGGATAGATTTTCAAAGGGAAACCGAGTGATTTGACATCGGAATAGGACGGTGAGCGCTGCTTCATCTTTGGGAAAGAGGTGAGGTGTTTCTACGTAGGCATGATACTTGGACGGGAGGGAGAGATACGACAGGTACTTTTGTACCTGAACCATGGAGTATGCGGAGGTCATTTCGGAGCGATTGATAATATGCACGTCGGGGGAATGGTTTAATTAGAAAGATGGGCGAGGAAGTCCTAGATGCTATCTTGCTTACTTTTGGGGTTGATATACTTACAGTGTGTAACCGGACCGAGTCTATGAGTCACTGTCGGTGAGGCATGTCGCAGGCTGCCAACAAAGAAGATATTTTAAATCAAGCACTTTCTGAAAGCGCCCATTGATGTCGCCTTTTATTCTAAACAAATACCCCTACTCTATACTTGGGTACAAATAGTATCGCACTGCTATTTGGATTGCCTTATTTACGCCTTTCATGTGATTGTGCCAGCCCTGCGTCGCCAGCTGGGATGCCCGGATTGCTTCTCGACATGTCACTATTCATACGTAGCTATGTGTAAAGAAGCTGCCGGCAATGTCGATCGAATTTACCAGGCACAAGAACCAGTGAAGGCTAGGCATACAGCCTTATTGGACAGCATCAAACACCTCCGTAACAAACGCCAAAGCTCTGTCGTATGCCTGGACTGATCCCTTCGCAGGACCCGGCGGCATTCCCGATTGAAAGTCCACCAACCCGTGCGGCCCATTGTCTACAAGCAGCAGTTCGGTCTTGACCCCAAGTTGCTTTAACTGCTTATAGTGATGCTTACTCTCTTGGTCAGGGACGACTTCGTCGGCAGTTCCATGCACCAACACGGATGGAGGGTAGTTTTCCGTCACGAACAACTGGAGGAACGCCGGCTTCAGGTCCTCCGGAATCGCTGCAGCTCGCTCTGCATAATCCAACCTATTCAGCTCCGCACCCAAGCCAGGGCGACCAAGGCAGCCATCGAGGAACGTGCCGTCCAGCTCCCACCGGACAGTCAGAGCGAATCGGTTAGACATGAGACCCGTCTCTGGCGAGTCATCGCTCACAACCGCCTTGTCGGCAAGCAACCCAGGGACCTCGTTGAGATCAACGAACTTGGCGAAAGACGTGGCCGGCCGACCGGCAGTCCAGTGATCTAACAGCCAGTCGCCTGCCGATCCATAGCCCGTTAGAAGAACTGCTGGCTTCGGAGTGGCGTACACACACGCCGCACGGGCAGAATAGGCGCCAGCGGAGAAGCCGGTCACTGCTATCCGACTTGTGTCGAGCGAGATGGGCTTTGGTAGCGTCGTTTGAAAGCCTTCGCTGGCGAGGAAGCTGAAAAGAGCTTTTGCATCCTCGATCTGATCGAGGGCGGTGCATGGGTGGCAAAGTCGGTAATCGGCAGCAATGAAGATGTAGCCTTTTGCTTGGCAGTGGTCTGTCACGCTGCACGTTAGTCGTGTGAAAGTCCTTCAGGTTGCTTGCAGATCAACTCACCGTATAACCAGTGTGGGAAACCTATACCCCGACGCGAGCCAGCTGTCATTCCACCGCCGTGGTAATAGATCACCGCTGGCAGACATCCTTCTTCTCGAGAGGGCATATAATAGTCTAGCTTAATGTCATGTCCGTCTACAGTTGAATAGACTAATGTCCTGCCTCCGGCCGGTAGGGTTGGCAACATGATTGACTTGGGATGGGCTGGTATATTGTCGGATCAAGATGGTGTGCACACAGTGAGGAGTTCTTGGATGCGAGCTAGTTGATCTATTGAGACTGAGGCAATCGAGGTGGATCGACAGTATTCAGTCTTCTAGCTTCATCCGGCAGAAGTTATTGCCGCTTGCCCCCCACCGGTACTTCATCTCGGAGATAATCATCCTCAACCCTGGGCTGAAGGTACGATTGTGCTGTGATGGATTTGTTCTAGCTAGAAGTCAAGAGGGCCAAGACCTCATGCAGAACAAGACCATAACAGTATCAAGGCACGTAGACACACAAATAGGCTCATGTTGGAGCAGGAACGCAGTCTGACTTCCCTTGTCCATCACCTTTCAAGGATAGACTACCAAAGGACCCACATATTTGAGCTTTAGCAATTCGCACTTACCATCAAGAGAAATCCACTGTCTGGGAGATCCCTTGCGTCTGATTGGATGAAGGTCCAATGTGGAGTTGAGCCGGTGTATGTTCGTTGCTTGTTGGCATGGCATTGCTTGGTACTTTGGATACGATTTGAATAGACGTTCGGATAATGAACCTCTGCGTAGATACTCATCTGCATCTGATTGACTGCGAAGCTATCCAATACTAGTATAAATCAGCTAAGGCTCACTCCTATGATGCACCGTGCTGTATGACGTTTTAGCACAGCCTCCCAAGGCTGAATGAGTCACTGATCCTACAAAAGCATCCTCAACTGCCATTCCGTAGGCACCGCGGCATTCACGAAGATATTAAAGATACTGAAGATACTAAAGATATATCTGCACACAATGGATATTCCAGAAGACTTCCTCCAAGCTCCTCTCCCTCCGACCGCGACCATCAAGAAGCTCGACTTCACTAAAACGACTCCTCCCATCCCCGCGTACAAGAACCATTTCGCCGCCATAATCAATAACGTTTTGACCCCAGCTGAATGCAACCAGCTCCTTCAACTCGCCGAGCAATCCATAACACCCCAAGGTACAACTAACCCAAACCCAGAGAGAACTCCCTGGGACCGCGCCCTCCTGAACGTCGGCAACGGGCAACAAATTAACGCCCCCGGCTTCCGTAACTGCGGGCGTATCTTATATGATTCACCAGAAATTGCAGATAGATTACTCAATCGACTCTTGCCATTTCTACGCGAGTGCGATATTGTCCAAATCTTCAACCAGCCCCTGGTGACAGGGGCTGGGCCGGCGACTCGCGGCGAGACTTTTAAGCTGACACGGCTGAACGAGAAGCTACGGTTTTTGAAATACACGGGTGGGGAATACTTTCGTGCGCATACTGATGGGTGCTACGTGACCCCGGATGAGCGAGAGAGGTCACTGTTCACAGTGCATTTGTATTTGAATGGCGAGGGAGAGCAGGACGAGGCTGCACTCCAGAGCGCGATCGTGAGACGGGAACGAGTCGATGCTCGTGGTAATGATGGTAGTTCTGATTGGGGAGTGGTATTTGCAGATGAAGATAAGGATGAGGGTATGGAGTCAGAGGAAGAGGACGAAAGCCTTGATGATGGAAAAGAGCAACCCCTACTCGGTGGTGCCACCTCATTTAGACTTGAGTCTTTCGCTGGGGAACGGGTGGTCAGAGTGTTTCCAAAGGCAGGCTCGGTACTGGTCTTTCAGCAGAGAGGGCTGTGCCATGCTGGGGATGATGTGTTTCGGGGTGTGAAGTATACCATGCGGTCCGATGTGATGTATGAGAAGGTCGAGAGTTGAATCCAGACCTGAGCTTTGTTAGTATCTCCATAAACCTAAGGCCCAATATTGAATCACACCAAGAACCGCTACATCCGATTGGTGGACAATGGAAAGTTTCTTCACCGGGCAGAAGAGACCTGACTTGTTATTGAGATTGTTCTTACTTTTCGCCTACTTATACTAGAAACGTGGGTATTGGGTGGGTTAAGAAGAGAAGGGCGGGTTCAGCTGCAAGCATACCTTGGAGTATCAGTACTCTAACAAACAGCACAGCCATCTATGGCTCAACACGAATTGCTACTCGCCCCTAGTGAACATCATGAGGTAGATCCTTCATAGCCCTTTCCGGCGTATTACAGAAATGCCCGTTGTTCTTCGCGGGCCGGCCCACATACGGGTCTAGGAACCTAACTACGTGGCACAGCCCACCAACTTCCCATAAGCATTATGACCCTTTTCACCAATTGTCCAGGGATTCTAGAGTGCCGTCAAAGAAGTCTGACATAACGTGTCTGCTGCAGAGACCAATCACAACCTTTGTGATCGCTGGCTTCATTTAATGCCAGGGGGAAATGGAGTGTCGCTTCAACCAGTCTCTTGAACCACATATGGACTTGAAGATAAGCGATAAGACTTCTCTGCCGAAATGTATATTCATGTTGGACCGCAAGAAAGTGCCTGTTGCCAACTGACAACGGCAGAACTACTGTAATGACGTCTGCGCGCTGGGTCTCTATTCAAATAGGCGTGCCATGGTCTCAGAATGACAGAACTGGTAGGAGACTTTGTTGAAGCGTAGGTACGAGAGGGAATATTGTTATTCAGAGATCAAGGTTGTACTACCACTGTTCTATTATAAGGATATTGCAAGGTCGATCCGGCGGATGATGGGTGGCCTTACGGCTACCATGTCGTATACTCCACTACTAGACAAACTTTGATTGGTATCTGTCACTTGTAACCGCAGAGGCATGGCTACATTATACGTGTTTTCAGTTGTTCTCATTGGGTGTCAGCATAAGCTTACCTCGATCCCAGAATTGAGGCTGAACGATCCACGAGTAGTGTTTCGCTACATATTGTCGTTTACGTCAGCACACTCGTGGCTTTCAAGACAAAATCCTTTTGTACCATGGCCCATAAGACACGGAAGCCACCCACCGACTCTGATGTATGTGGGAAGGCCTGGTCTAGCGCGACTTACAATGTTCCGTATGGCTCAAGTCAAGTCTCCAGCTTTCCCTGGATACCAATTGTACTGGAATAACAATAAATATACATGAACAATAGAAAAAGTGAGAAAGGAATGAGAGTGACCCCAAGGGAAACCCTAAAACTCAATCGTATGCATCTGCTAAAAGTCATCCTGCTGCTGAATTGACTTTAGAGCCTTTTCTCGGGCCGTTTGCAATGAGTCGATATACGTCTGCAAGATTAGCTCATCGGGCTGATGATCCATGCCCTGTGCATACCGGGCCAAAATGGCTAGGATCGATCCGATCTTCTCGAGCTCCGACGAAAGCACCTGAGCAATAATCTTCGAGCGTAACTCATTGTCCAAGAGGTATCGGCCAATAGCCATCGGGGTATCATAAGTAGACAGGTTCATGCTCAGGGGTGACTCATCTCGTGATGTCTCATGTTGTTGTGATAGGAGGGCTTCGTAGGATTCCAAAACCTGCTGGATGATAAGAACCAACAAGAGAGCGATGCGTAGCCCCTGAGCACAAGGGCAAGCCAAGATCTCCTTCACCGTTTCCATCGCCGTACGACCGTCATCGAGTGTCGCATCCAACGACTGTGGATGATTCAGCGGAGGAGTTCCCGATCGTATGCAGGATGTCCGCGGGTCACGCATGGTCTGCAAGACCGAGGCTGCGCGTGTAATGCAGTCTCCAGTATCGCCGACGCCAATAGCATGTTCAGCCATAATCGCATCCCACGAGGGATTGCCGCGTGGGTCTACAGGGCATTCCCCCTCCATCCCATTCGTGCGTAATTGTGCCACGTGTGGGATATCAGGAAGAGACATGTCAGCTGACTCAGGGCTTCGAAGTGGTACCACCGTTCCTTCAAGACAAGGGTAGGATCCAATGTGAGTTTGAGATCCTATAGTGGACTCGGGAACGTCGGAAGGCAGAGTATGGAACATGCTGAACGGCGTCGCATAGTTAGATGACTGGTAAGGATCATATGGCGACATGGCATCGTCAGATGTACTCGGGGTTCGACTGTCTTGGTGACTTCCCCCCAATTGTGGATGCTGGGATATCGCCTGCTTCTTTCCCCGTGTGTCTTCGTTTCTAGAACTAGTAGATCTCGAAGATGCGCAGTGGTGCCAGGCTTTGCCAATGCGACGGGATTCACTATAGTTGCAGACAACGCCGCTCTTGATGCACCGGACGCAATGCGGCTGGCCACGGTCGCATTTGACCTTCGACAGGGCGCAGAAATCACAGCTGGCCCTTAGTTTGACAGGCTTTCCCGATCGCTCAGTCGGTGTCCTTGTGGTACTCATTGTCAAAATAGTAGTTGAATACGTTGTCTTGGGCCGACCTCGAGAGGGTATGATAGATTTCAATGTCAGGGTAGAAAGTCACAGTTCAAGATAAATAGTGGAAATATGAGAGAACAGAGGCAGGTATGAGGGTCAGATGAGCATAATCTAACAGTTAATGCATTGTATTTAATCTGTCCCAGCTGAATAACTTCACCATTCGTATCACTACATATCTATTGGCTCGATTGTAAGTCAAGGTACAGGGCTGAATCATCCATGGACCTCCAAGGGTCCTAATCCTGTGTCAACCATGGAAGCCCTCCGACGGCGACTGATTAAGTACCAAGTTTCAGTCCAAAAATACTTTTAATGCATAATGCATCTGTGATTGGAAGGCGAATACCTTCAGGCCGGCGTCTCATAGGTGTACGATGAAGTGTTCCTGCAGTACAAATGATCTTCACGTCCACCGATAAGGCCTGTGGCAAATAAACATTATCCTTGGCTTTAGTACTTCTATTCCTGACGGTCTCCATCTAAGCCAACGCCACGGGATTGTTGGGACTCTCTGTTGTTGGTTCTGGGCAGCCCTAATCCGTTGGCGCTGCGCCTCATCACAGCCTGTATACCAACCGATCTATGAACGTCGTAGGACACATCTACTCAAAGCCAACCCCAATGGACAGTAGTTAGTAGATGTTTGGGATTGCAAGATTCGATTGGTGGCCTGAGTGGGAGGCGTTTTACACGGATGATACAATCTGCTTGGATCTGTAAAGTTCATATTCTGTGCTCAAATTCGTCTTCATAATGGGATTGGGTCCAATGCCATTTACAAACTCGCATCTCATCACAGTGAAGATAAGCGTATATGATGTACATGTAGGATTCTGGTTAGCAAACATTGGGCGACAGTCAAACATATCTATTAGCATTCATTGTAACATCGCTGTCTGCATCATTCCCGCCAGACGAATGACCGCTGGGTTTCGAACAATGGTAAAATGGTTAGCATCAGGCATTGTTTTTAACTGAATGCTACCTCCCCCAAGCAGATGATCCCATCCGTTGTATGACATATCCACCCGGCGTTCTAGCAGCCAGTCGATAACCTCTGGGTCATCCTGATTTCGTTCCGGGCGAGGGTCCCTTGACGACTTGCATACGCCATCCTGTGCGTAGATGATAGTAGTGCGAGGAGCAGCGGTAGCTGGTCGGAAGGGCGCAGGTGTATACCGGTCTAGAACATCGTTGACGGCTTGGAAATGCTGCAATAGCCATGTCGGCGGCTTCCGCCCACCGTGAATACCGAAGACCCCTGCTTCCTCAAGAAACTGGTAGAAGTGTGGTGGACACTTCCCCAACCCCATAGGATTAGGAGAGTCTATCAATAGCAGTCGCTCCACCTTTTCCCCTTGATCAACGAGATACTGTGCCACTTCATATGCAATAATCCCCCCTGCAGACCAACCCCCGAGGTTGTATGGACCGCGCGGCTGACGTCGACGGATCTCAGCCACGTAGACTGGGGTAAGGTCTTGTAGTCGACACTTCGCCAGCTCATTCGCCTGCTTTAGGTAAGGGCAGTCCATGGCATATATACGTACATCCCTGGAAATGGTGGGTAGCATTGCATAGGATGTGGATGACCCAGACCCATCAGGAAAGAGAAAAAGGGTTTGTGAACAACTTTCATTACCTTGGAGGTTTATCGACGTTGCGGGTGGATGAGTGGTTATTAAGCTCTGCTCGATATTTTGTTTCGTGGATTGAAACATTGCTCCCAGCGCCGCTGTAATTGAAGCAACACTCGAGTGCTCCAGAAAGAAGTCATTCGGGAGTTGCAGGTCTGTCTCATCACGCACTCTTCCAAGAGTTGTGAGCGAGAGGAGGGAATCTAGGCCCAGCTCGCTGAGGTCATCCACATTGGAGAGATCTGTGAGACTCACACCCATCTCCTCGGATAGTATGGATGATATCAAGCCCACGGTAGTTGTCACCCCATCTACTACCGTATTTCTCCCGACATCCCTGTCACTTCCACTAGGCGATGTGATAGTGGTTGTTGTAGATCCGTTGGGGGTTGGATAAGAGCTTGTCTCGCCACTATCAGATTCGGACGATGATGACATGTTGAGGTAAACACGAAGAGACTGCACAGATGGACAGTTTTCGAAAAGTGACCATGGTACGTCGAGCCCCAGAAACTCTCGAAATTTACCGATGATGGTCAAGGACATCAGCGAATCAACTCCCATGTTAGCAAAGTTCACATCCTCAGTGAGCTGTCCAGGCTCGACGCCAATTTCCGGAGCAATAACTCCAAGTACTCGCTGCCATGGGTCCTCAACCTGAGGATGCTGAGTTTGTATACTACTTTGTGGCCTCACAGCAGGCTGGGAGGTATCAACTGTCTTTGGTCGTGTGGGTGAAGAGCTGCCTTTTGGTGTCGTGGCGGGCAGTAACATTTCCAGGACCCGCCGAGCCACTTTTTGAAAGCTGACTGCTCCATATTGCGCAATTATGCGGTTTTCGTTGAGAATATGGACATCCCCCACATAAAAGCCCCTGTTGTCATCGACAGGTTGCATTTTGACGTGAGTTTGGTAAACCGTGTCTGGGGAAAAAGGCTCGACACAGCGCATGAACCCCCAACCGTGGTTCACAAATAAGTGCTCCGTTAGATCAATAGAATCATTGCAGTTCATGACAAAGCCGGTCAGATGGCCAAAGCTGTCAGACCAGACAGGATTCAACGAATACTGACCTGCGGTCGACTGTAAACGCACTTCGGCCGTGGCTTCCAGCCCAGAACTGTCGAATACGACTTCCTCCATGGCTTGGTATGAGGGGCCGTATTGCATCATCGACGAGAAGAGTCTGTACGCCAAACCTCGGCGCATCTTGTGTGTCCACCCTTCTTCAACACCCTTCTTGAGATGCTCAATGCTGCGTTGGATTAGGTACAACTGGCGGTTCCAGCTCTCCTGCCAGTTTGTAGCTCGCCGGAACTCTATGACACATTGTGCGTGCTGCGCGGTGAGATTCCCCGTGTCGTCAACGCTGTACACCTTTATCATCCCTCGGAGCATGTTCCAGTCCATGTCAAGAGATGCACGCAACAGCTGTGGTCCAGTTCCTTTGACGACTAGAGCCTTTTGCACGACCATGTCACAAATGTCTATGTTATAATCCGGTACATCGTCCTTTTTACCTGACAGATACATGCCTAATGTGTGGGCAATATCCGCATACAAGGACTATGGGACTTCTTGTTAGTATACTGAAAAACAAAAATCTGCGCCGTGTACTTACCGATGGACAAAGAGTTACCCCGTTGACCTTATGATCCAATGCTACTGTCAGTAGCTCCGGGTCAGTAATATCAGATTCAATAATAATCATTGCCCGTGCGCCATCTACCACCTCTTCGACAATCCTCTGAACGGAAGGACTCAACCGAGTAGATATGGGTCGAATAGGATCGGCGCTCATAGACGTTTCAGGACACCCCTTGGTTAGGCAAAAGTTATTCTGGTACTGAATCCAGTAGTCCTGATAGTCCCAACTATATCCAGGAAGCATGACAACCTGATTGCTGCTCTTAAAGTCACGTTGGTATTCGTCCCAGTTTAGACTCACTCCTGCCAGGTGCAATATTGACAATGACCCCGCGAGGGTCTTAAACTTGTCCTCTCGGTGGGATAATGTTGGGCACACTCTAACACTCGAGCCCACCATAGCCTTCATCATGCTCATAAGGATGGGATGAGCACCAATCTCGACTGCCAGACCTGCACAATCAAAGATACCAGCGGCCTGTGCTGCCTCTAGGGCACCGACAAAGTCTACAGGCTCACGACAATGTCGACGGATGTACTGGGCTCCCATAGTTCCTTCATCCATGATAGTACGGCCCAAAGTGGGTGACACGATTGGAATCCTTGGTGGTTGATACGTCACTTGGCTGGCAATATGTTCCAACTCTTCCAAAATTGGATCAACCTGTGACGAATGAAACGCGAATGGTAGTATGAGTTTCTTGGAAGTCACTTTAAGGTCAGATAATATCTTCGAGGCTCGGTCAATCTCATCAGTGGGACCACTCAAAACCGTATCTTCCGGGCCATTTCTGCACGATACCTCCAACTGCACACCTTTGAAAACCTTTTCTAGGTCAGCAATCGACGCTTTGACTGCCAACATACCATGTGACCCGGATGTGCATCCTTTCTCTAGCAAGGCAGCCCGCGACCCAGCTAGGTAGATCGTGTCGCTGATGCTGAGCACTCCTGCGAGCTGTAAGGCTGCATATTCACCAAGACTGTGCCCAAGAGCGTATTGTGGCACCAGGCCCCAGTTCTGCCATAATCGTGCTATTGCTATTTGGACAACCACGGTACCAACTTGAACCACAATCGGGGGCAATTCTGCAACATCAACCTCTCCTGTGATTAGAGGAAGTATGGAGGGAAACCCATGCCCGCGACTGACAGCTTCCAACTCGGCTATGTCCGCGCGAAAGGAGGTGAAGCTATCGTATAGTTCCCGCCCCATCGCCGTCTGCTGTGCACCTTGGCCTGTGAATATGAACCCTACTCCAGGTGGCTTGGACGGACAAGGCTTGATATCCTGTGTCACATCTGTGTCTAGCAACCTTCGTTTAATCTCTTGTAGGTCATCTCCTACGAAGGCTACACGGTAAGAGTGGTGCATGCGCCTCGCGGTAGTCGTATATCCGATGCGTGCTAAGAGCTCCGAGGAAGTTTCTGAGCCAATGAACTCCCCCAAAGCACGCATGTTCTCTGAGAGACTCTTGGATGACCGAGCGGAGAGGGTAACCACATGGTGTTTCCGTGGGTCGGACGAAACTCCAGCCGAATGGTCCTCTAACAACGGCGCATCTTCAACTAACACTGCTGTATTGCCTCCGGCTGCAGAGAAATTATTAATAAAGGAGCGGCGCTTTCCTTCCCCTGGACGCATCCAATCGGTTTCCCTGAACGGGATATGAACATTGCGCTGCTTCATATCTGTAGGGAAGTGGCGGTTTATCCTTCCCTTGATGCCACAATGGGGCGGAATTCTGCTTTTCTGCATCATCAGCAGTACCTTAATCAATGCTGTCACACCAGATGATGACTCGCCATGGCCAACATTCGCCTTGACAGACCCCAGATGCAACGGCCTATCCAGGGCCCGACTATCATCCCAGGCGAAGCTGTCAAGTACTGACTTCATTTCAACTGCGTCGCCTGCCTGTGTCCCTGTGCCATGCATTTCGACGTAGCTGATCTCATGTGGATGTATACCAGATTCTGCCAGTAATTGTTGGAATAGATGTGCCTGTGCATCGGCTAACGGACGGGTTATTGAGACTGCTTCTGCCGAATGCGAGGTTCGTGCTCCTAGGATCACGCCAAATATAGGATCGTTATCGGCTATTGCATCTGGTAGCCGCTTGAGAATCACGGTGCCTACGCCATCTGCACGGCAATATCCGTCCGCAGCATCATCGAAGGTCTTACAATTCCCGGTTGAGGAGAGGAAATGCCCCCGATCAAGGCCGGCGAAGTTGTCGGGGTTCGTTAAAATATTTGTACCACCGGCCAAGGCAGTATCGCAGTCACCATTAAGTAGAGCGCTGCAGGCAGTATGAATAGCTGCCAGGCTGGATGAGCATGCTGTATCCACTGTAATGCTCGGTCCGCTGAATTTGAAGAAGTAATTGAGGCGGCCGGGAACAAAAGCTCTGATACCCCCTGGGATGAAATAGGTATCAATATCTTGGCTACTGTTAACTTCGCGCCAGTCATCGCTCGTCATGCCGTAGTATACACCCACACGATCCCGCTGGCTTGCTGGGGTACGATCCGGGACAAATCCAGCCATTTCCATGGCTTCGTACGCTGTGAGAAGAGCCAGGCGTTGCGCAGGATCCGTCTGGCATGCCTCGCGTGGGGACATTTGGAAGAAACGCGCGTCGAATGACCCGGGATTTCGTATCCAGCAACCATGTTTGATACGACTAGTATTTTTACGTCGGAGTGTAGCATCGTAATGAGCCTCACGGTCGAACCTGTCGGCAGGGATAGGTTTATGGACATCCAGTCCTTGCTGCAATAGTTCCCAGAACTCGGTCAGACCGTCTGCTTCCGGAAAACGACCACTAAAACCAATAATGGCGATCTTGGATGCTTCAATGCCTGACGATGCTGGCAAAGCCTCCGCTGCCGGTCCCTGGGTTGCCGTCGCCTTCAAGCACTCCACCTCGATGCCGACTTGAGTTAATGATGTTTTCATTCTGGATACAATATTCGTGTGGATAGGGACGATTTGAGCGGTGACATCAGGGCTATGCTGAACAATACTCTCCTCAACCTTGTCAAATCTTATCTGGCAGGTCAAGATCTCCCTAACCAGTGCTCGAAGTAAGTCACCAAATGTTTTCTCCTTCAGGACAATGCCTGTGGCGCAGGATATGAGGGACGTGTTCGATTCACGACAAAACAGAGATCGGTCAACTGATTTGTGCCCGAGGATACTTTCTACGTCGACCTCGCTATATAGATGTGCCGCGTGATATGGTGCATAGATTGACACCGGCAACGACTTTGTACCTTGAAAGTGGGGAAAGGTCTTTAATGCCTCAAGCACCTTTGGGGTACCGCTGATCGTAATGTTATTACTTCCAGCAGCGCTGACATATGGCTTCATAATTGTCGGGATATCCTGTGCATGCGTATGAGTATCTTGCGTATTGTCTGTGTGTCCACCACTTACCTTATCCCGAACAAATGCCTCGAGTATCTGTTCAGCCTCTGATTCTGGAATATCCGCCACCGCGAGTGACCATGGTTTCCACTGCAAACCATCTTCCCCAGCCAGTGCATTAGCCCGTCGAGCCACCTGAATTCCAACCCGAAATGCAGTTATCACAGCCTCAATGCCGAGGGCAAGCAGATCAAGACTAGTTCGTGCGCAAGAAACCGCAGCAGCTGCGAGTGATCCGGTGCAAAACCCAACTAGGACGGAGCCGGTTGGTGGATGGCAAAGATCCGTAGTCTGTAAGAGTCTGCGGATAGATGAGTATGAGAAGTATTGATGCATATATTACCACTCACAGAATGTATTGCCCTATCTCGTAGAGGCAAACTAATGCACTGTCTAGGGCAACATGGCGTCGTCCATTTCTGACCGCTCCTAGCAGAAGGGGGAGTGTGTGTGCGTCTGGCAGCGAGGTTCGCTCATTTGCTGGTAATAAGAATATCTCCTTCCTTATAGCAGCAAAGGCTTCATCAAGAAAGGACTTTAATGTCGGGCTATTCTTCACGTATAATAGTTTGTGGAGAGCATCGTCCACGCGGACAGTTTGATCTCCGAAAAGGTAAATAGTGACCATACTTGCTAGTGTTCATAGGTGGTAAATACTGAGCCACATTTGGAATAACAGTCCCCATTGCTGTATATAAACCGACAGAAGGTAAAGCAGTATCGGTCATAGGGGATTTGTCAGACTGGGCTGTGTTCGCATCATTCGGGAAACCACCCAGCCCTACAAGGATTTATACCGAAACGTCCGACGTACCCCGATGGCGCCGGGGAAGCCGATGATAGCGAGACTTGGCCCCAACAATGACCGACCAAGTGTCTCGGGGTAGTTCTTTTGTATTGTCTCATTGTCATCATTTTGTTTTACGGCCACCCATAGTAGACACAGATGCCGTTAATGCCCGTATAGTGTGGTTGCATTCAGAAATCTACCTTCTAGAACCCGGGCTCAAAGTAGACGTATAGCATAGCCTGTATATAGGTAGGTCATTCAATCCGCTCATTGCCAAGCTTCCCTGATAGCACAATCCCTTGGAGAAGAAGTGGGAAATGGTGTTCGTCAAAAGGCGAAACAATACAGAATATTTGCCAACATAGAATGGTGTACCACGTTTCTACAGGTGATTATAGATATCCAAATGAAATTGTACACAGCTCTTCCATCCATCCATGTCAGTCTACATAATTAGCACAGTGTGGCTTACAGAACCCTGGTCGCAATAAATATTGCAAAGATATCGAAGAATTGCAACATTTGTACATTTCCCTTCATATTCTCAACCTATATACCAAGCACTTTCCTGAAAACAGCATCCATCTCTATACATCCAGACTCAGCTCAATCAGTGACATTAAGCTTCCGTAGGGTTCCTTAATCTTCACTTTAAGCCGTTCATCAACCTTTCTGAAGATACCCATCCAGTCCTCCAGCTGTCTTTCCATGCCGTTGAACACTTGTTGCATTATGAGGTCTTGGGCGCGCAGCAGTCTTTCCTTCGATGCTGGAATCACACCCGGACCCGGCAACACAATGTCGACGATGATAATACGTGCACCAGGTTTCAAAGTCTGGACGAGACGTGACAGTATCCGCACACAGTCATCGAACGACCAATTGTGCAGTATCATCCGCAGCATGTATACGTCAGCATCTTGCACCGGCTGTGGATCAAAGAAGCTGTGTGCTCGATAACTAACGCGTGGCTTCAAGTCTCGTGCATCATCTAGAGAGGAGAGATATTCAGGACCCTCAGCCACTACCTCGGGCAAGTCCTCCACAACGAAGGTCAAGTCAGGGAACTTGCGGGCCAGCGCAACCGAAGTATGGCCGGTGGACCCACCCACCTATGGTCGTCAGAATCTAATGTCCCTATGAGATTGTAATAATACTTACATCAACTACAGAAGCATGTCCAAGGGCGGCCCAGTCCCATCCCTGTGCGAGCTTCTCGGCATCTGTTCCTTGGCTGCGCGACATACTGCGCATAAAGCCGGCAAATTGGCGTTTTCGATCTGGATGTTCAGCCAAATGATTGAAGAAGGGCAATTCCGTGTCAACCGCGATATTATACGCCGTCTGATTCCCTTCAACGCTACCTGGCCACCGTTCATGTGCTTCCACCATTGCAAAGGCAGCCGGTACGGATAGGTCACTCATGATGACAGCCCAATCATAGGAATCGGCATCATTGCGCAGCAAAGCAGATGTGGCAGAGTGTGTGACATGATGCGATGGGCCTTCATGGAAAAGACCATTGGTCATAGCCATGCGAACAACACTTCTGAGCTGAGGCTCAGGTGCCTTGGCAAGGATGGCCAGGTCAGCGTAAGCAATCGAGCCCTCTAGAGGCACTAGGTGGAAAATCCGAAAGTGACAGAGCCATCGCAGGCAAGATGCATAGTGATACTAGTCTGGACTTAATACAACAACGCTCTCTATACCAGGTGGTTTTATCTTACCCCTGTCTGCAAGTTCAACAAATACGCACTTGGTCCTGCGGCAAGTTGGAAGAGGCGCAAGGCATTATCCAGGATCCGCTCTCTTGCAGCATGAGCATCTGGCGAGGTGCCAGCGGGCAGTACAACTGTGGGTGTTTGGCGATCGAATGAAGGCCGGGGATGGCCAGTAGAAACAAGGTGGTTGTTCAGTACCTCGACGTCGTTCACCAGACTTCTGCTCAATTCTTCCATAGTCGAGTGCGAAGCGTATGCTATGTTGAGATCACAGTTGATATTCATGTTTGCTACTCTCGATGTATGTCTATTAAGTGATAGCATTGTGCTTTTAGCATGATTCCCTCTCTAAATATCCTTCAAGATTGGTCTTGTCCGAATGGATGTCTCGCGATTTTCGGACTACTCGGGAACCGACGAGCCCCGAGATGTGGATGAGATAAGCTGACTACATGGGGTGCCTGATTCGTGTGTTGAAACTTGGACATACTGGGGTGGGAGTCCGGGGTTTCTATATAACAACTTCGCAAAGTGCATCCCAGGTTGAAGTGATTGAACACGAGATCTTCGGTTTGTTGCAGCTTTTCCAAGATTGCCCGTAAATCGTATTCTTGGATTCCTGTTCGATACCGTAAGATTACCAAAGTTATGTTCCTTGCCGCTCGAAAGTGTGGCGCAGCGAGCCTTGTTTAGTAGGCGGTGTGGATAAAATTGTCAGTCAACGAGAGCGAATTCTGCCCCAACAATCAAACACGCAAGCTTAGGTAGCCCTACTGGAGACTCTGGAGAGTAGCTTTTTGTAGTGTATAGGAACACCGTTCTTGATTGGTAGTTGTAAAGTAGACCTCAAGCTATGAGGGATATTGTTACATAAGTTATATCAAAGACCGTTGTTTGTTGAGGAAGCTTTTGATAAGCAATACATAGCCAGGTATGCGGTAGGAACGCCCCGACTCGTGGAGGCAAACAGGAGCGGTAATCATCAATGTTCAAATGATTCCCGGATACACTGGTGAAAGAGTACTTAATTAATGGACAGGTCTACTTGGTGTGCACAGACGGCTCGGTAGTACTACGAAAAGACTGTTGCTAGAATCTCCTGGATTATGAAGAATGATTGAATGACCCCCAGTGCCTGTGATTATATATATATTGCCTCGACTCACCACTATCTAGCTAGAATACCCTGTACATACCTGAGTTAGTCTCTTGGCTGGCCAACTGGCCGTCGGCGACCCGAGAAGAGCCCCAGAAGGGGCTGCATTCGGGTATAATGCATTTCTTTCTCTCTCTCTCTCTCTCTCTCTATATTGTGCCTGTATGCAACTACCAGTCAACGCACACACAATCCCTACGATGAGTAGATAGTAGGTAGCACTTAACGGGTAACTATGACATTCCACAGTTCAAGGAGGCTAAATATTTCAATGAAGGATAGAAAAATTCAAACATTATATGCGTATCTAAGGAGGTGTTCGATCAATGGTCTATTTTGCAATGTCTGAAGCCTAGTACATACATGACGTATCCATGATAAAAATACCTCATCATCATCATCATCATCTTCTTCTTCTTCTTCGTTTTTGGTTTTGCCAGTTTTGACAAAGCCTATTTGTGTACTTCACTTCCTCTATTTTCATGTTGAAGGAAACGATGGATTGACTCTCACCTAAAATGAGTGTGGCAGGGAAGAGCTGAAGATAGTGAAGGTAAACAACTCAGTGTACCAAGGAATCACGCAACAATATACCCTTCGTGGATCAAACTGGCCATCAGATACTATTCTTTCATTAGCATAGGTCTTCAATGTTTGTCCACAATATAAGTGGGGGTCAAACGGTCCCGAAAAGAAAAGGAAAGAAAGCCTACAGTAAGGCCACGGTAAATTCGCCTTGGATGTGTACATGACGATCGACTCCAGGTTCCCCGAAGCACAGGGTGAGTAAATCCACTTGATCAGTCCAATTTTCCCGTCGGAACTTTTCCAACAATGCCTTTAACGAGGCCTTCTTGGCGCTGGGGCAGATCCTGTCTCTGGCCTACTCGCTTCGAGGGCAGCCTCATCGGACAGGTTGCATTCAGTGGGGTCGACATCCAGGCCTATCGATAGATCTGAGTTAATCGGGCATCTGAGGGGGTTCCAGACCGGGGATTGCGGTCTATTGGCCGTATCATAGTGCGTATCTTCATGACCCCGCGCAGGCTCCAAATGGCTCAGTGGGGATGACGGAACGTAATGTTTGCTCGTCAGGTCTGAGCGAGAGGGTATACTCGCAGTCCATGTCCCCATCTTCCTCTCCCCACCCGGCTCCACACGACTGTTGCATTCGGCCTGCAGACGTGGAGATTTGGGAGGACCTTGCTCGAACATACTGAACTTGACTATAGAGGCTGGGCAGGCCAAAGCCCCTTTAAAGTAGACGAAATAAATGACTCCTATGAAATTGGTAGAAATGAATACACGAGTTTGTTTAAGCTCCAACAAGCTCCAAAGGTCGAGATGCTCAGTCAGGCTGTTTCCTTAGGCGGATAGAGACCCACATTCAAGGAATTTGGTTGGGGATTGGATAATTATTGACATGAGAACCAGTTGCTGCGTTCGGAGGGGAGACTTTTTGGATACGATGGAATGTAGGCGATTTTGCAACAAGCTGTGTCGGCTCGGAATGTTCTCCATACTCGAGATGAGCTGGAGTTACTATCGGAAATCTTGTCCGTTGTCTAAAAAAAAAAGAAAAAAAAAAACAAAACAAAAAAAACCCCCCGAAAAAGAAAGACCTACTGTGGGCGTACCAAAGTTCGTGTCGGCCACAGCTTCAGAATAGGCCGCATGCGGAAGCCCTAACTTGATCACATTTCCGTGCGATGCCGATTTGATTCTCAACCATCTACTGTTATCCACCGTGGATTTTGATCTGACACTTAAACTCTCGGATCGACATCACCGTTAGGTAGTTCATATTTTGGTCTTTCCGTCTATGGATGCATGTATCCACTAATCCTTCAAGAACAATCTTTGGGAGATAAGTATGCTTGGAGTTTTAGGTTTTTCCTTACCCACTATGAATAATCGATAGTTCATTACTACTTCGGCCACACCGACGATAATCGTACAATATTGCGTGTTGCGCAAGTAGGTCGTGTTCCTCACGACTTCGGTGACGCCGACATCAGTGAGTCTGCAATTGAATAGGAACTCGGATAGTTTGCATAGTGACTATGCCTGGATGGCAAGGGGTAAAATATGGAATAGGCGTAGCTGAAATTCACGTAGGCTAGCCTCTTTGTTACTACTGATCGGCAACGCGACTCGAATGCACACTATCGATTGGGTCAGATTATGGTATATTTCGTCATCACATGAGCGTTCGTAGAATGATGCCTGGACGAGATGATATGGAAGCTCCTCTACTTCATCATGAGTTTAACGGTGTGGGGTTGCGTTCTGATGGCTTGAATTAAGGGTCCTGCGAGCTGAGATATTTAAGATGTGATGTGCCTGGCACAATCCACCTGATTTCTTTTCTATAAAATGTGATGTGCCTGACAAACCCCTGCTTTCTTTTCTACACTATCATACCTCTGCGCATACATATTGCTAAAATTTAATCATTATATCATTTCAACTCCGTGTGCAATTAATCATACTGGCATTTCTATTCTCTTTTGAGTAACTCATACCACCATGGCCGCTTCTTTTGAAGCTCATGTCTCTCAACCTTTTGGGTCATCTCTATACAGCAACACGAGTATCCGGGCAGACAATGGGGTTGTTTCCAACAGTGTGTTCAGACGGAGCACTGTCTCCCAGAGCTCTATCAAGTCTGTCGGGGAAAAGTCGATGCTGGCTGATGTTGTTGACACTCTCGCTCGTCGCAGCAGCGATGCAATGATATCGACAAAAATCCTGGAAACCGACTACGCTACAGTTCTAGAATGGATTCGGTCAGAGAGAATGGAGAAGCTTCCCGCTGAAGGAAGCAGCTATGACAAGATGCTAGTATGGGCAGCATTGTTCGTAGAGCGGCTGCATTCGTTCAGTAAGGCAATCGAAGGATTCGCGGGAGACAGCCATCTGGCGGCTCAGCTTGCTTATGTTCATTGTGCCAGTCTGTTAAAGGTGAGTTTCCCGTCTTGTCCAGAAGAAACAGCAATCTAAGTAGTGTCATACGGTGTTCCAGCTTGGAGAAATGAACTCTTCTGCCCTAATGAGTCTATTCGGCTTCTTCTATCGCTGCTCGTCGGGCCTGGGGAGCGTTCTTGACCTAGGCGAGTTATTTCAGGTTTCCAGCGATATCAAGGACCAGCTCAGTCTGGCTCTTGCCGACCTGGTGACCTTGATTGTGGGGATTGCAACGCATTTCCGTAAAATCCTCCTACGGAAGGATACTTGCATATTGATATCTACTCCGAGTTTTCTGACCAAATCCATAACTTCCGCAGTCGGTGTGAGCGTATTTCCGGCTTGATGTGGAAATACCAGCTGGAGCGTGAGGGGTACGACAGTGCCAAAGGTACTATAACCCTCTCTGTCTATCGAGAGCTATTATACTGATCCAATTGGTCCAGTAATCGACACGAAGACAATCAAGCGCTGGCTCGAACCGGAGGATCCTGTCCTTGCTAACGTCGTCGAGGCCACCGCCCAGCTTGCCCAAGAGCGAGAAGAATCAACCTGTGTTTGGATGATGCCTTATCTAAATCGCTTTTTGAAAGGAAACCGACAAACACTCGCGATTTCCGGCAATCCTGGGTCAGGAAAGTCCATCCTCGCGACTGTGATCAACGATCACTTGCAGCATCCCGTGGGAGATGTCAGTTATAGAACCATTTTTGTGCCAATCAGTGAGTTCTCTCATGACATGACAACGAAGTTAGCCACCTGCTAACTGTGGCCCCAGACAGCAGGGTTCTGGCAAACACCATGCCTCGTGCTATCGCAAAGACCATTCTATCCCAGCTTTTCGACCAGCAAATTGGAAATATTCGCCTTTACCGCGTTCTTTCCGATACATACAGACGGTGCCAGGAGACCATTGACAGTGAAGCATACGATGACATTATCTGGGGAGTTCTCCAAAGAGCACTTGAAGCTAGCCGGAAAGACGCGAAGGAACTAGTCTTGATAGTTGATGGCGTGGACGAAGCCAACGGTGGCGAAGCAGCTTTATTGAAGAGGCTCCGACACGCTACCCATAACGCAAAGAGTACCAAGCTGATCCTGCTCACTTCCCAGCAGGAATCTAAGACCTCCCAGAAGGGACAGGACACAGTACGCGTTATGCCAGAGCTTATTCTGGATGATATTTCTGCAGTTGTGCGAAGTATCCTGCAAGGTAGCGATGCCTTCACCACAGCTCCTCAAGAACAGCGTGAGATCCAAGTTACTCGGATTGCCGAGGCTTCAAATGGCTCTTTCCTGTGGGCTAAACTGGCTTCGAAACAACTTCGGGACGAGGCCCCGTCCAACACGCAGGCTCTGATAAAGGCGGTTAACAATCTTGTCAGTAGAAAGCCCACGATAAAAGACATCATTCATCGCACTCTGCATTCGAATGTGACCCAAGAAGCCATAAGACTCGTCGTTTGGCTTGCCACGGCTTGTCGGCCGCTACAGGTACAGGAATTGTCTGCTCTCCTATCTGTTCAGCAAGACAAACAAAAGATCATAGAGCAGGACAGGGAAAGCCCACTTCAGATTCTGAAGCCTGTGGCGTCTTTAGTCTTTATTCAAAACAACTTGGTGTTCCTGCGGCACGACAGAATCCGCAACTCAATCTTGGAGGTCTTCAACCATGGAAATATCCTTCCTACAATCAAGAACACAAACCTCGATCTAGCCCAGCGATTATTGCTCTATGCAAAGCTTGCAGTTCCAGAGAGCCGTGAGCTGGCCTTGGAGCCATTGGAATCAAGTTTCACCCGCGACCTCATTGAAAGGCATCCTTTGTTGGACTTTGCACTCCGCTACTGGACACACCACCTGAGGACGGCAATGGGTTGCAACACAGACCAGGAAATTTCTGCAGCCGCGAAAGAAATTCGCAATATACTTCCGAGTAGCACAACCTTCTCCAGGCTCGAGATGGCTATTTGGCAGCAGAAAGAGGCTCCAGTCCTGGTGTCTTTCCACGATACCCAGACGCGCCTCTACCAGTCGATCCTATCTTCGAAACAGCCAGCCACTCTTCAGACCATACTATGCCAGGTGTCTTTCTATTGGACTATTCATGAAGCCCCAATTCAAGCCGACCATGTCTTCTATAATGCCATCCAGATCTGCAAAGAGCTGCTCTCGGCCCAACACAGTATCACGATGACGGTGGCACAGTATTTCTTGGATATAACCACTAGTCAAGTGACTACTTCCAAGACTACGACCATGGCGAGGCGAATTGAAGTCCTCCACCTCCTGGTGGAGAGCTATAAGGTTCTTTATGGGCCGACAAGCGAGAAGCTCATTTCCATTTTGACTCAGCTTGCAGAACATTACCATTACATCAAGGAAGAGCACAAAGCTGAGGAAATCCGAGGCTCCATCGGCGTTCACCCTCCAGGAGGTACACAAGATTCGATCAAACCCCAATTACCCGATGACTCGTTGCACATCCACCTTATCGGTCGGCCACAATCCACAGTGGCAGGGGCCAACCTCGAGTTAGATGAGATTGAAATGGATGTGGAGGTTAGCGGGTCTTTTGAGTTTGACTCACTTCTCAGCAAAGCAGGACAGTATGCAAAGGCTGGGGACCATAAAGCAGCCGAACTTATTTACCTTGAAATCTGGCAGCGTAGCAGCTGGGAGTCCCGAGTCCACCGCTCCTTAGAGTGGGAGCTCAGAAATGTGAAGGCTGCCCAGGCCTACTCGAAGTTCCTCATTTCACAAAAGCGAGAGAGCGAGGTAGCGGCCGTCCTCTGGGGTTTCTGGCAAGAATATGAGCAGGTCAGCACTACTTTGGATGAGGCAGTTGTATCGGAGTTAATGCAAGTTGCAAAACTCATGAAATCCGTCAAGCTGGAGACCGTGGCAATGCAAGTTCTGAAGCATTGTGCCCAAAGCATCAGTCAGCATAGTTCGATGTACGCGGAGCTCAAGCAATCTATACAGTCAACCTTCGAGTATATCATAGAGAACGAGTCCACCGCGACTGAATCAAGCCTGGAGGAGATTGTGTTTAGCACCATTACGACAAAGCAATTCTCCACCAAGGCCACCACTTCTCTGATCAACATCTACCTGTCTCAGCGTCGATGGCACGACGCGACACAAGCCATGAAGCGGGTCTTGCGGAGTATTTGGCCAGCATTGTTTGCCCCATCGTTCGAAGATGTTGTCCTTCCATCGAAGAATGTGGACTACTGTGTTCAGCTGGCCGAGCGCTTGAGTAACTGCTATCGTTCCAGACAGCGACCAGCGAAAGAGGAGAACATTCGTCTTCGAGTCTATCGTGCTGCCCGACGTGGCCGATCCACTGGTGATAAGCTCCGCAATCGCGCCACGACCGCAATTTTGCGCTTCTACGAACGGGCTTCCAAAACCGATGACCTCATCAGAATCCATGAGGAAGTCCTAGACGACTATATTAAGCAGCATGGGCGGACACATCCGACTGTGCTCAAGGAGCTGTGGGCTTTGGCCACATTAACCCACCTGAGCCCTGTCTGCGTGGATTACTATGGACAGATTGTGAAGATCCTGAACAAGGATAAAGCTACCTGTCATCCAGACGCCTTTGAGCCGCTGCTTATCGTGGTCACGGAACTTCTGACCCAGGGACGTTTTGCTGAGGCATTGCAGCCTTGCAAAACTTTGTTCGGCACCTTGCAGCATCCACATATCAACCCCAAGCTTAAAGATCAGGCCTTCGTCAAACTTACCTACGAGCGCTATGTGCATTGCTTGCGGATGACTCGCGCTGACACCGTCACTATTCATGATGTGACAGTTCAGTACCGGAAGGCATGTCGGTCCCTCTTTGGGGTCACTGCGACAATCACGGTGCAAGCCACGACTACACTGGCACAGATTTGCCAGGAAAGTCATGAATACAGGAGTGAAGCGGTAGCACTCTACGAGGAGTTATTGAAGCTCAAAGCAAGCCAGGTGGATATCGACTATGATGGAATCGGGGCGACATTAGATGCCTTGTACGAGGAGCAGGAGGCCACGCTGTCTTCAAATACCGAGACGATGACAACCGTAGAGTTCCATAAGGTGGTTTCTCTTCATAAGAAACGTCTCGAGACCACTCGATCCAAACATGGATGGGCTCACCAGGAATCGCTCTCCCAGATGGAGAAGCTCGTATCGCTCTATTCTCGACGCGATGAATTCCAGACAGCCTTCTCCTTATTGCAAGAAGCAACATCCCAAGTCTATCGAAGGAGACGTCGGCGGTCAATCTGTGCCTCGCAGCCAAGAGTATTGCTTCCAGCTTCATTAGCTCGCGTCAGGTCCAACGCGGCAAAGGAATGGCACAGGAGATCTACCGGCAAATCGTGGCCAGGGACATCGAAGTTGGCTTTATCAGCTTTGACTTGTCCACGGACCGGCATCAAGCCCTTGTTTTCCTAGCCCAGCTCGAGTACAGTCTTCAGGAGCGGGAGGCCTCGTCTATCACCATGAACGAGATTTACACTTCACTAGTGACTGAATATGTCTATTTTGAGCAACTCAGAACTGCGATGAAGTCAAAGACCAGCAGTTTCCAGAGCACATTGTCCATTGTTCACCGCCTCCACGGTGTACTGCTTGCCACAGGTCGTCAGTCTACCGCTACCGCACTCATCGAGAAGTTCACCCACTATTTCATATCTGCCGAGAGCGATACCGTCGATGTCACCTTGGCCCAGGGCAAGGTCTTTGTCACCACGCTTCTCGAGTACTTTAGATCTCATTCGTCGCGCGACTATATCAACTCTGTCGCCATCGCCAGCTACAACCGCGTAACCCAGCTCCTGGCCTCCGAGGAGTACGATACAGCATTCGACCTGGCGTCGGTCTCATTCAAGTACATTCGGGCCCATCACGGCTTTACCTCATTGACCGCTGTTAAGCTAGCATTTAAATTATGCCTGGCAATTTCCAGCCGAGACATCAAATCCTTTGTGGAGCCCACGGTGCGAAAGGAGATGCTTGGTCTATCGGTCGAGATCGTCAAGGGAGCTCTGGACAAGTTTGAGCAATTGAAACTGGATATAACTCAGTTGGACAATGTCAATTTGGACCGGTTGATCGGGCTTCTGGACGAACAGAAGGAATACTCCACCTTGGCTCGCGTGCTTACCTCTCTTTGGAATGCCCGTGAAACCCGCAGCACCTCGCAGCAACAACATCAATACACTCTTGCCCTTGGTCGTATGCTTGTTATCACGCGCTACATGATTGATCAGCACGTGGATGCCATCCGTCTGGCCGAAGATATTGTGTACAACTGTGCTCGTGTCCATGGCGCACGACACTCAAGTACCGTCGAGATGACCGTGCTCCTCTCGCAGATGTATACGAGCGTGGCACAGGGATATCAAAACAAGGAGGACTACCGTGACTTGGCGTACCGGTATTACAAGAAGGCCGCCGTGCTACATGAAAACGCCCTACGATCCTTCGTTGACCCATCGTACTTCTCTTCTAGCCTCGGAGACAGGAGCAGCCCCGGTGGCTCGAATCCCAGCAGTCCCGGTGAGGCAGCAGAAGGCGACGGCAAGTACGTTCGACAGCATCTCCGTCTGCTCAAACTCGCTGTCGAGCGCTTGGGAGAGTGGCCGAAGGAGTACTCGGAATACGAAACCCTGAATACGGATATTTTCAAGGCGTTTGGAAATGAGCTAAAGGGAGTGGACGGAGTGGAAAAGTGGGACTTGAAGAAATTCGGTTGCGGTCAAGCTGAAGCGACTGATGACTTGATCATGCCTGCCTCGGACGAAGGAGTTGTTCTACACGAACGCCTCGCGATTCCTGTGTAGGTTTATAAAACCATAGCAATTGTTCTCTGTTTGTACGTGTGGGTATGCCTTTTGGCTGAAAAAGTGTGATTAGTTATTGAGAAACGGCTCAAAAATTTGCCAAACAAAATGTTGTGGGATGAGAGATCTAGTTGAGCAACTACTGCCGGCTTGTATGTCGTCGAGTGTATAATTTCAATGTCTCTACAAGAAATGCAGTTCACTCTTTGCTGAATATGATGCAAGTCTATAACTTGAAGAGAAGAAAACCATACAACAAGATTAGTATGTCTATGTTTAGTCTATCTGAGTTACAAGAAAAGCGCTTAGGAACTGTTCCTTATATCAGCTATACAAGAAGTGATTCAGAGGGGGTTGACTCCACTTTCTTGACGATATCAGGAGGTAACAGACTTCCCAGCAGGCAGATGAGTAACTAATGGGAAGGACCAACAAGATATATATA